ATTCAAGGCCGGTGATTAACAAGCTGTCAATCAAATTGACTGAAACTTACATCCTTGCGTTAGTCAAAGATGTATCAACATATATATATATATATATATATATATATACAAACCCTCATAGTCAAAGGTTAGAAACAGTTGTCCTGAGAGCTTCCTACTTTTGCCTGTTATAATTAATGCAAGCCAGTTGAATTGGGTGGGCTATCTCCCACCATAAAGATCCAAATTAAAAACCATGAACCGGTTTGTCATTTTGAGTTTTGGGGTAGACTCTTTGAACTGGCAAAGTTTCATTGAAATCGGAGAGATGGCATGTACTAGCATACCTGCCTGGTGCACCCATGGACTCACTCTTAAGGATCCGTGGAATATGCGCTGGAATATCTGCATGTCAAAGGTACAACCAAATCATTATTTTCCATCCTTAGTCAAGGTTTTTTTAGGCGTATGATTCATCCAGAGGTGTAAATGGGAACAATGTGTAAATCAAAGGCCTGCAGAACTAGCTTGCTCACAACACAGTAATTGCTGTTCCCATTATTTGTTTAATCTTTTTAGCGGAGCTCCACGCGCGCGTGGGCGGAGCCCCATGGCTAAGTAAATCTACCCATCCCAGAAAATTTGGTAATCACGTGACCGTACACCGACCGCCGACCGCTGACCGACCGTCCGTCCACACCACAGGAAAACCAATGTTTACTCTCACACATTTACCTAGTTTGGGAGCCCAAGAGAAAACTAATTGTACATCAATGTTGTGATCAATTGAGAGCTATCAAAACAGGGCATCTGCTGACCAGTATCACCTGACCGTATCGCGGGCTCAAGTGTCGACCCATCGAGGTCGAGTATTTGTTGAAGTTATAATCTGCTGACAAATTACCAGTTTCAAATGATCACAGGCTCAAGTTTATTTTTTCCAAGGATTCATATCAAATATGTTGTGTTTATGTCACTATGGCCCCGCACTATTAGGATTTTGATTTCAAACTGACCTCGGAAGCGAAAATTCAGCCAGTTTTTTTAAAAGTACAGGCGAGGAAGACCTTATCTTACCATGGTCACGAGTTGGTCACGCTCTACGTCCAATTTTTATACTCTGATTGGTCAAAATTTGACAGGTGAGTTCATACGGAAAAATTATGCAGCATCTTGAAAGTTGTTTACTTTGACAGCTGAAGCTGACAGAGTTTTGTGTCAACTTGTGATGTTTTTAACTTTTTCTTCTGGATGTACAAAATGAAATACCCTGAGCTGCTATCAAGAGTCTTCTGTTATTCATGGCTGGTTCGTTTACTGGGTACGTTTTGGGTGGAGAAATGCGTCGCTTGTCAAAATTCGGTAATTCGATTTCGGAAGGCATCGTTTTCGTTTTTCAGCTTTTTTCACCTTGTTTAATGCGTAAGGGGGTTTAAAAAGACTCAAGCAACTGTGGCCTTCCTTGATAACTTTCAGGAACTGAATCTCAAATGGTAAGCCTGAGTAATAATTATTATTGTATTTGATGTTTGTTTTAATGTTATATCTAATTTCATGAAGTCTTGCACAGTTCACGCTGACAGTTTATACGGCAAGTTTATGCACGTTTGTAGGATTTGAGTCAGTATCAGGTTTGATATAAGCTTACAGAACTTTAAAAAGCTTTCAGATACATTTGCTCACCACAAATAGAAAGAAAACGTTCCCAAGGCTAGAATATTAATTTTAGTTATAAATTTGGCTGCAGAAAGAAAACTTTGAGCGATTTTCTTGCTTCGAGGAGTTCACCTTCGAAAACAGTAAACACCGCGTCAGCAAGCCGGCTTAAGCTTTACGCTGAAAGACTCAGGATTTTTAGAGACACTTTAATGCTTGTCTTCGTGAATGAAAATTGTTGTCTCTGTAAATTTTTCACCGAATTATTATTTCTTTTTTTGATTTTTAGTAGTCTCTCTTTCAATTTTAATCGCTTGTCTGTGCCGTTTGTTTTCATCGTTCGTGAACATCGCTTGCAGGAGTACTCAAAACTGTCGTGCGTATCAAACGCTTTATAAGATTACACATCCTTATAACTGAAACCATTAAATAACAAAAAAATAATAATAATAAATTCGCTGTTATGTTGAAGCGTAACTCTATTAAAGTTCATTCAAACACTCGACCACACTGACAGCTCGCACTATAGAAACGAGAACCAGCTGGCCGTATGGGTGATTTTGGAAATTTTTGATCGGTTTCGCTTAAAGCCCACGATTGATCGTCCTGATTGACTGCGTACAATTTGTCTTGAAAAATTGTGAAATACCGCATTCTGTCCGAGGTCTGTATGATAAATAGTACTGTTTCACCACAAATGCCATGAAAATTAATTATAAAAGGTTGGTTTAAACACCCCCAGATTTGTTGGCAAGAATTTGTAAAGTAAACCTGTCGAACGCAAAAAAATTCGGCGTGATTTGTTTTCCAAGAATTTATACCTGCCAACTCTCACGCCTTAGGCGTGAGTCTCACGCCTGTGGGTTGAAAACTTCGATCTCACGCCGGCTCACGCCTGCGGGCCAATTTCTCACGCCTGATTGAAAAATGTGAGTTGTTACCGTCTTGCTTGACACAATTTTCAAAAATATGTTAACTCAGACCCATGTAAGGAACGAAAACCATGTGTAAAATGAATAAATGACAATACCTTCCTCGCGATCTCTGATTTTGTGGATAAGCGTTTTCTCGATAACTTCGCCTACGGCAGACTTCGGACGTCTTCAGAAGACTTCGGACTTCTTCGGGAATCTTCGGAAATGATCGTGTTGTCTGCAAAAATCCAAGCACTCCCAGGATAAAAATCTCACGCTTATAACTCAGAAAAAGTTGGCAGGTATAAGAATTTGTTGTCGAGGCCTAATCTACTGTGATCTTGAATGTGATCAAAGATGTTTGCTATTTTTTGGGTGTACATATAAGGTTATCAATTCGATGTAAGATGTTTCACTCTAAAATAACTTAGCCTCTCCCTCAAAAGTCACATGAATGTGCCCTTAAAGGAGCTGTGTCACGAAATTCAGCCAAATTAGGAAATTACAAAATGTCCGTTAAATTAAGAGAAACATAAAAATAACCGCTTAAAACTTTAAAGGAAGGTTAAAATAACATACAAGAAACAAAAGATGCCACGGATGGGCAAAACTGAAGAAGATTAAAACGGATTGAAATTAGGGTTTTTGAAAACTGTTCAGCCTAACAGTTTTTCAAAGTTGATCCCTGCTGCTTGCAACTTCAAAAATAATGCTCAGGAGACATATTTGTTTGTCTCGATCTCTGATTTTGTCATTTACATGTAATTTCTTTGCTTACTTTAAGTTCCATAGCGACTGAGGGCGAGTAATTGGCTAAATTAAACAAAATGAACTTGACTGCCGTGACACAGCCCCTTTAAGTTAACTGATTTGTGGATTAAAAGTTTATTGTTTGATTTAAATTATAAATTTCTTAATTGGAGCTTCGCTTTTAGCCGTGGCTAAATCTATATATAAAATTATTGATGATATTGATCTTGTAAACTGTCCTGGTGTTCTCTTAGTAAATATCTGAAATATGCAATGATACTTACTACTATATATGATGCAAGTTATTTGTAAACAAGTAAGGCCAGAACTGATTGTGCTATGAGTGATGTAATTTTGCAATACCTAAATATATAGCTGGTCAAGTACAAACTATATGCCTTGCAATCTAGCTTTCCAAGTGTAAAGAATTTAGTTTTGAAGAAGAAAGCACAAGCAAGCAATATGGAGCAGGCTGAATTTCTAGTACTAGTGACTTTCCAGGGCAATGGTAGATTAACAGAACACATTACGCTGTTTTATATCCTATGCTATAGATATATACGATTTGCTTGAAAAAACAGACAAGTCAATCTCCAAGAAGATTAGTTGCCTTCTTACTCATCCGCTGTATAATTTGTTTCTCAGATGAGAGTTTAAAAGAATCTTCTGTTTGTCGCAATGTTATATGTCAACCCCACTTTTAATATGGACACTGTTTACCTGCACACTGTCCATTTTTTTAAATTCATAATTGTCACAATCATTTGCTAATTGTAGACATTGTACTCAGTTAAGATGAGACAGGTTTCTCTCAGTTGATACGATATTACTTTATAACAGTAGCAAAAAACGTGACATATATACACACATACGTTAGTCTTTCGTTCTGTGTTTGACCCTTTTACTGAAGCCTGCTCGAACGTCACAAGTTTGACTTCCTTGGCTTTATGCCGCTTTATTCTTCTGTCCTACCTTTTCTCCACTGTAGATACAGGCGTTTAACTACATCGGAATGTCGCAACTCAAAGTTCTCACGAGGACGTCGATGCACTGATGTTGAACACCAGACACTTATATATAACTGTGATTCCAATGCGATTTATTGCGGAGTAATAATCTGATGTTAAACACGTCAAACTAAAATACAAGTAAGAAAACCTAGTCTAAGTGACACTAAACGGAGATAAGCTAAAACAATAATTATTACATAACAATGCAAGAAAAGATGAGTGCTCAAAAAAACCTAATAATAATAATTGCAATATATAATCGATCAAATAATGAAAACAACAAGGGGAGAGAAAAATAAGCTTACCGATTGTCCTCTCTGTACGCCTGAATAGAAGTCGCAAATGAACGCAGTAATTAACTTGCAGATAACTCTTTTTCATGAACTCTCTCTCAAGCAACAACACGCGAAGTATAATGGCATTTTGATCTTGCGCATCAATAATATCTAACCAAACGTAATCTTTAACTTAGCAACAGTTACATCCTCTCTGTCTGTTTTAGACATAATATCAATTAATCATATGCTCGTGATTTTTTTTTCTGAGAGCCAGCTCATTACGGACCCCTGGATAATACAGACAGTACGTCATTTCCCCTCAGTGTCTGCATTAGCTGGGTCCCACTATACTTATAATTAGATCAGATACGACTGATGTTACAGGTATATTGCAATGGTCCTTTTTTTACCCTAGGAGTAGTCAAGAAATATCAGACCTGATGTCTAATAAGAAGATAAAGTGGCCATGGGCAACAAAAAGACAAGTTGAAGACGAAATCAATCGCCAGTCCTCCGGTAATAGCTAGGAACTCGTTTAAGGAATATAAACCCTCTTTTTGAGATAGACATAATATTTGCAGTTCTCAAAGTGATCTATAGATGATATCATGCAGTACTGGGTAATGCCTAATTGCCGAGTGTGTGCCGTCAGTGTAATAAATAACCTCCTAAAATTGAGAAAAATAAAACTTAAAACAAAGCTAAGCTCCCACCCTCAAATCATGGACACTTCCTGGTAACATAAGTTTAAAGTACAAGTTTATTATTACTGTAATGACTATTTTAATAGGGAAATGTACCATTGTTTTTGTACTGTTTTGATCTTAGACAGCAGGGAATACTATTACTAACTTTTGGGGTTATCTATTTTTTTAAGTTTACGGGTAAGGCTGTTGTGATACACCCGGTTAGCTCATTATTGAATGTTAATTACTGGTCTGCCGAGTGGGAAGCCATGGGTTCAAATCCCTGCTGGACCAACACTCATAATTGAGGAGAATGTGCCGCCTTTGTTTTGACATCTACAAATGGTTAAAGGGATTCTAGTCTTCTCGGATAAGGACGAAAAACCATAGGCCCTGTCTCTCAGTTCTTTCACTGTTCTGATTCTTGTGGGACATAAAAGAACTCACACTGCTGTTCGTTAAGAGTAGGGGTTGTGCCATGGTACAACCCTTCATGGGTTGGGTGGGTATTGAGTAATGGCTGGTTTTGTATTAAATGCTATTGGTCCTTAAGTATGTTTTTCAAGTTTGGAAATGATGGTTGAAATTGTGTGATAGAGGGTAGAATACTTTTGTATGTCCCCATTTTTGTTTGTGAGCTTTCTTCCTCGGCCCCATGTTTAATTTCTGAGAGGATATTAACATTTGTTCCAGGTTGCCTTTAGCAATAACGCATGTTTTGAATTGTCTAACATTTTCCTCATACATAGCTTTTGAAGAGTTTGTTCCAACATAGCCTTTGAAGCATGTGTATTGAAATCTTTCAAATGTTTCTTGGACAATGAAATGTAATATTTTATTCATTGGTCATTTGCACAATATATGGAAGTCTGACAGGAAGTCAGGGACCACAAGATCTGGCCAATAAGAGCGCGTCTTTTGGGCATTTAGTTTGGCTGTTTTGAGAAGTGTATGAAGTGAAGTTATTTTTGATGCTTGAGGTTTTTGTTCTTGGAATTCTTCTGTAATCTATTAATCATCCTGTTAATCAGCAGTGGTGTGAGATGTATTTAAGGTGTATATGCAGTCCTTACTGTTTGACTTATATACAAAGAAACATTACCAGTGTTACTCCCTTTCCTCCCTTTCTTGCTTCAGAGAGGTCTTATTGAAGCCTTGTATAATGCGACTCGCGCATCCAAAGGCAGTAGATGCTTGAATTTAACAAGTCAATCCCCTGATTCACTTTCGCAATCCATGATTCGATATGCTCATTCCAAGTCAGATTCTTATGAATGACAACACCGAGATACTTGATTGAATCTTCACTCTCAAGGTTTTCGTGATCAATGACAAGCTTGATACCTTGACAGGTTTGCAACTTCCTATCACCACCAAACAATACGAACTTCGAATTCGATGTGGTCACCTTACCACATTTAAGTTCCAAATCGATGGAAAAGTGCTAACCTCAAGTGACCGGTTAAAAAGTGAATCAGACTTGGAAAATGAATCAGACCTCGGGGAGGTTGGATCATGTTACCGAGATGCGGGAAAAACTTAGATAAGTACTTTGTGGTGCCTTTAAAGCGGCGTGCAGCAGCTTTATCGCTTGGCTGCAGCATATCAAGTACAGCCTCTAAGATCATTGGACTGACTTTATGACCATTAGAAGTTACTAGGTGGCCCATGAAAGGAGCACTCTGAGGCTTGAAACTGATCTTGTCTGGGTTAAACTTCAGGTTGTGTGCAGCTTTAGAACTGTATTGTCATGATCAAGGGTTGCCTGTTCAAAGTAATCTCCATGGCCAATAACAATAGTATCGTCATTGATATTTAGTACCCCCTTTTCATGACGTCTTGAAGACATCTCTGAGACTTGTCTGGGGCTGAGCTAACCCCAAATGGAAGATGTGTCCATCGATAACGTCCCCAACGAGTGTGCATGACTGTGAGCATGGAAGACTCTTCAATCAGCTTGATTGTTTGAAAAGCTTCTCTTATGCCGAATTTGGACAAGGGTTTTTCTTTGTAAAACCTGTGGATGTTTTCTTCAATGGTTGAAATCAGATGGCCTCCTTAATTGTTTGAAATGGGTCCAGTAAATTCGTACTTTAGCATGCTCAGAGTCAATAGCTGGATGTTCATACATTAGCATGTTTGAAATCCATGGAGTCACTTTAGCCACAGGAACTAGCTGACCATTGTCAATATGCTTATCCAACATCCCCTTCATAATTGGCAGCATGGGAGCTGAGTAGTGATACACGTCGCCTGAAGGAGTATGGGGAGCGCAACTCACATATGCCCCTCAAATAAACACTGGTAAGCATGTTTGATATTTAAGAGTCAACTGACCGGGTGGGTGCTGAACTGGCATATTTTCCACTCGAGAGGCCTCAATCTGTTTAATCTTATCAGCATCATACTTCAATATACCCGTGTGGGTATTGTCTGCCAAACCCCACCAATTAAGAGAGGGTTAAGTACTGTTGGAATGTATTGATCCGAACTATTACTTCATATAAGCTTCCACAGTGAAAACAGTTAAGCTTGGCTTGACCTTTGGTGGGACTGCTTTGGAGTAGTAGAAGAGATGTGATATGGATTTTGGTATCTCAACAGCAGATAGCTTTTCCAGTTCAGTGATGTGCATATAAGTATTGCAAGAACAGTCAGAATCTCCTTGTATGATTCAGTTATCAAGCCATCCTTGAAATCCCGGGTCTTGGTTATTACTTGAGCAAACGTAAAACTGCCAAAGGTTTCTCTTGAAATTACATCGCTTCGATGTCATTGTGCCTGACTACAAAAATATCGCACTGACGTCTGTCAGCTGCATCAACTGGGAAGCTGCTTTTTTGGAAGCTGAGTCTTGCAGCTGTTTGCCAATCTCGACTACTCATGTTTAGATCTTGCTTGTGAATTCTCAAAAGAGGGTGGGTGATTTGTAATATAGGCTCTGCTCCCAGATTGTAATAGCTCTTGAAGCCATACAGCATGGTTCCGCTTATTTTGGTCTGATATTGGAGTGTCAAATAGTTGTGAGAACATCCTATTCTTGTGGACGAAAAGCTACCCTTTGTGCAGCCATTTCTTTCGGTCGTTTGGTCGTGATACAATATTTATCCCAGTCAACCTCTTTAGCTGGATTAATGAAACCTTCCATAATACAAAAATCCTTAATTTTAGGCAAAAAATAGTTGAAGGCATGCCATCTGTCAGGATCGCTAGTGTCAAACTGAGGTGGTCATGATTTTCCCCAATAATGATACCACACGTGTTCGCGATTGAGAGTGGAAAGTTTTTGCACAAGACGAGTGCAAATAGTGAGTTTAGAAACGTTAAGAGAATACCCCGACGACTTTTATGGAATCTTCAACCATTAAATGTTTAGGTAATGACCTTCTCTGCAACTGACTTCATGTAAAAAAGCGGTAAAGTACAAGAGATATCTGATGACAAAAATAGTTTTCTTTAGCAATATGACAGTCTTAAAAGAAGTAACTGGATATAAAGAATTGTTCTCGATTTCCAGACAGAGCACTTTCTCTTGTGGTAGCAGATGCTTTTGTTTGGTAAAAACTTAATACATGGTCAGAGGAATTAAATGATAACCACCCCTCTTCCTCGCTACCAATGAAAAGACCTCCTCAGGGATCTTCGAAAATTGTAGTTGAAAGCAAACCCTTTACCCCCAGACTCCCCCTAAAAGCCATAGACGCTTCCATGTAACTTTAAAGAGGCTTGTACAACAAATAGGTTTTATGTTTGGTACATGTATTTATTAACAACTCTATTTTATTGAATGGTACTGTTATGTACCGTCAGTGGTAATTAATATGACATATTCTAAAGAATTATGTGTATGTTATGTTGTTGTTCAATTTTATCCTTGGTTTAAGTTTTATTTTGCCTTTGTTTCAAACTCATTATAAAATCATACATTACCATATCCACAACATGCACATGAACCACAATGATATCATCTTTCACAACATAAACTGTTGCACTTAAACCAATGTACTGCACATTTGGAAATTTAACACACAATATTGCAAAAATAAGTTTATCATGATTTTTTTTTCATGATGACTGTAGCAGACTCTGAGGCAGAATATAAAAAAGTATATCATATTAAATTTTTTTTGTTAATTATTAACAAACCTCAGCACAACCTCCATTCAGGGTACACCTCTATTCAAGGGACACTTGCTTCGTTCACGAGGGTGTCCCCTGAATATATGTTCCACTGTAGATAGCCGGAATACTTTTAATATATTGGTAGTGTATTGAAGTAATTGTTATAATATCTGTAGTTCTTAAAATTATTGAACTATACTATATAATTTAGTGTATGATCTCCTCATAATTAACTGCACCACCCTTCCTCCAAAAGACATCCTGGAAATGAGTAAACTTAAAACTTGAAAACAAAGCTCTTTCCCCTCTCCCCCTTAAATCATGAAAACTTTCTTGTATGTTTAGTAAGGTTTGTACGACAATTAGTTTTTAGCATAGGCACCAGGGAATACCACTGATAAATTTTTGGAATTGTTTGTTTCTTTTATAAGGCTGTTATGCTACAACAATAGACAGTTACATGATGGTGACCAGTTCTATTTGAAAAAGCATTGGTGTAGAAGCTAAGAGGATAATCATCCAGTCTCTAATGTTTGCCACACTATAAATATCGCTTTGTCTCGAAATAATATTGCTGTCTTTTTTTTCCCAGCTACAGCGAATCCGCAACAAACTGCTGGTGTTACTGATACTAATCCTGGTGCTCCACCAGCCAGTGAAAAATTATCTCCTGCACGTAATGGTCCTGATGGTGTAGACGATGGTGCAACGGCTTCTGAAAATGATGACAACAACGGTACTCAACAGCTTGCCTCTATAAATAGTATAATATTTTTAGTTCTCAATGACGCTATACAGTGTACTTGGTTAGCTGAGTGTATGGTTTCTTGGTTGCGAATTAGAATCTTTTTTTTGGTGAGCGTGTTTTTGCTGACGAGCATTTCGCAGGCTGCACACTCAATTATTGTACAAACATGGATTATACTGTATTCAGACCTTGGTCGTGACCGGTCTAGTGGTGATCTATGTCTATAGCTAAAAGAGGCTCATTGACTCCACGTTAAAGAAACAAAAAAAAATTAAAAATTTCTCTGTTTAGCGAAGTTACCGGATTTTGTGTTAAACAGCGTCAGGGGGACACACCCCAAGCAAACTTCACGTCCTAGCCTGAGAAAACAGCCGACATTTGCTGACCCTACCACTGGTTTCCCCGCCAAATGACGTCTGAGAAATGAGCGCAGAAATTTCATACAGATGACAAAACTACCCAGATCTGGGTAGTGACGCGTCATCAGTATGGAATTTCTGCGCTCGTTTCTCAAAGTTATGAAAACTTACCTGGTAAGTTGTTTAAGATTTGTTGGTCGATAAATAAAACTGCAGAATGTTTCAGCTCACTAGTCTTCTTCCAAGATAAGAAATACTCATTTACGTCTTTTTCGTCCGGACCAAGGACCACATACTGTACGTGCATAGGCGTACGGGCCGGGGGGGCGAGGGGGGCTGCAGCCCCCCCAAATTTTGGGCAACTCAGATTTTTTGGGCAGCGAGAGAAAATTTGGGCAAAGTCAGTTTTTAAAGACGTCTCCATGTTTATTTAATTTAATTATTTTGAAGACCTGAATATTAACCTAAAGTCGGCGTAATAATCCAGTTACATTACAGTGGTTGCCTAGCATGTGATGAGTAATTTACATATTTGTAGTTTTTTTATTGTTGGGCACTCTACTGCACTGCACTAGCTGGAATGGGCTATTTCCAGTCGTGAATTTCTTAAAATAAACTTTCGCATAACTTTCTAGAATCATCTCCACTCGAAGAACAGTGTATGGCAGATAGCATCAGCAATGGGTATGAAAATGAAGAAGTGGCTGACTACTGAATTCTCATTTTGAATTAGTATAGCGAGAAGAATCTTAATTCTTTTAAAAAATCTATCGAGCAGTTCCATGAAATTATTCGCTAATTTGTTAAAGTAGACCGAAATGTTTACAAAACTGCTAACAAGAGTGCCTTGATGACTAATCAAATCCTTCTTTCGATTCTAGCAATCAAGCAGAGCTATCTCCACGATCTTTCAAACATGTTTTTAAAAAGATTAAAACTACTATGAGGTGAAAATGCATGTCAAAAGCGCTTCGTTTTGTACAGATAACGGCCAAACAACAAGATTTTCCTTTTCTTACCGTATTTCTAATAATAAAAACTTCATTCCAAAATATCTCGATAACGCTCTTAAGGTTTTGTTTAAACTTCACGAACATCAAGGCGACCGTATTGGAAAAAAATGCTCCTGTGAACGATTTTGTAAGGTTCCCCGTGCCGAGAGAATCATTGCTGAAGTAAAATAGGTAATGGGGTCATTTCGTTGCTATGACAGCTCCAATGTCATTGCAACCCCGATGGTGACAAATTTTCATCTTAATACAACGGACGTCGCAAGTTTTCAAATGTTTGTTTATGGCGACGTAGTTTATGCTCAGACTTGGTATTCAGACCCTGAAAAACTGAATCGAGCCACCTTCATATGCCAGGACGGCCTATGTTGTTGCAATATGGCCCTCATTTCTTTTCGACTCTTTCGTAAAAATTTGGGCAACTTGCCGGTTTTTTTTGGGCAAATGGTTTACCGCCCCCCCCTGGCAAAAAATTTCCCGTACGCCTATGTGCATTATGCCTTTTTTACGAAATGTATCTATGGTGTATATCCAGTCCTTACTGTTAGATATATTTACAAGGAAAAATTACCAGTGTTACCACCTTTCTTGCTTCAGCTGCTCCTCCTTCTTCAACCGGTGACGCCACAGTCCGCTCTGGAGATACACCAGCCAATACTACTAATAACCAAGAATTACCAGCTGCTGGTTCTGATCATACCACTGAAGGTGATCCTTGTAATCTTGTTAAGGGTGAAACTGCTGTAATTGATTTTTCGTTTGAAATTCTTGAAACACATTGACTGATTTGATGTGTTGATGGCCTTCTTTACTCTGTCCCATTGGTGTCCGTATTAGAGAGGTTTAACTGTATGTACGTGGATTATAGTTCCATGCCTCGTCGTTTGTCCTTTCATTGTCTCTGTGTGGAGCCACTAGTTACAGCTACAATCGGTGAAACATTGTTGAGACAATGTCCTCCAATGGGGCACTTTTAACTTCAGAGAACTAAACAATCTGCACCCCTTTCCCTACCCCTCCATATTCAAAGTTGGGTTGTTTGTTGTTTTCTGTAGGTATAATGGAGGTCAAAAGAACTTAGGACACTATGGAAAAACGCGGCTATACAAGTAATAGTTGCATAGGACTCTGCTCCATTACAATCAGTGTTTTGATCGGCTTTTGGCTTTATCCCTTCATGCCCCACTCCCCTCTCCCAGCAATGTTGTGCCCCCTAAAAGGACTCATTTCCACCCATTTCGCTCAAAATTAAACGTTGTTTGGTGAGGAAGGGGGAGTTCACCAGTTTTAATAAAATCACTGGAAAGTTCCCAACACTTTTGACCTCTACAGCTGCACAACATTGTTGGGAGTGGGTGGGGAAGGGGGAGGGAGGGAAACGGGAAGCTTCATTTTCGGTTTTTGAAGTCGCCAAAACGTCAGAAAGGTGCCTTCGGGCAAAGTGTCTCAACAATTTTCGTCGCTGATTGTAGATGTGTCAGGCTTCACATGTAATTTGCGTAAATGTTTTGAACAGATAAACTTAAAACTCCAAATGAGTATTGAGAACGTCCCTAATTCCCAGGGGGTCTTGAACGACATTGCTTCCAGGCGTCGAGCCATCCGATAGAAAGGAATTTGAAGATTTTAAACAGTATCTCACAGATATCCGCAAAATGCTGATTGTTGATATTCGGTAAGGAAGCTTAATTATCACAGTGCCAGGTGCAGTTCGCTACAGATCCTTGATGATATATGGGAAGATTATTGTAGTGGTCACCCACGTAAATGAAATGGCGCAAAAATGTCTCGTGACTAAAGAAATTTTAACGGAGTTTGGTTTAAAAGAGGCAAAACCCACCACAACCATTCTGGAAAAAGAGTACAGAACTTGTCGAGAGCATTTTTTGGACCTTATAGGTTAGTATGACAGTTAAGAAAACTGAATTTAAAAAAAAGTACAGTACCTTAAAGTGCAACTAAAACAAAGCATCAGCTAGTTGTAAGTAATGATGACTAATTATATGAAGTATTTAACAAATATGGGAAATGACCTTTTTATGTCGTAAAAATATTGTTCAGTGATATTATTCTACGTATTTTTTGTCTATATTAGTTTGGACACGTTTGTGTGCCTCCCTTATCGCAGGCTCAGCAACTCATACCCAAAGTCCTCTGGCGAGACGCCAGGAGAAAGACTGGGACAATGAAATGTACTACAGTATTTATTTTTTTGGTCGTTTGCACAATAATGGAAATCCGACAGGAAATCGGTAGACTACGAGATCTGGCCAATAGATCATTTCCGAGTTCCCCCGGGCCTGTATCAAAACGAGGTTGAGTTCTCAGCCTTTGATATGAAAATGATTTTTCATTCTCATGGAAATAAAACTCATTCTCACAAGAAAGGTTGTGCACTTGGTTTTATTTTCCAAGTGAGGGTTTTTAGAACTCGAAAGGGACCTATTAGAGCGCATCATTTGCATCGGTAGTCACATTCTGAAATGGCTGTTTTGAGAAGTGTATCAAGTGAAGTTATTTTCGATGTTTACGATTTTTCTTCTTGGAATTCTTCCGTAACCTATTAATCATCCTATTAATCAAAGTTGGTGTGAAATGTTTTTATGGTGTATATCTGGTCCTTACTGTTAGACATATTTACAAAGAAAAATTACCAGTGTTACTACCTTTCTTGCTTCAGCTGCTACTCCTCCTTCCACTACTTTTTCTACTGCTACTGTGACAGCTGCCTCCACTACTGATGCATTAATGTAATATTATCTCTGTCTCTCCAGATGGTATCAGCAAAGTCGAAGAGAGGTCTTATTAAAGAATTGTATATTTCGACACGCGCATCCAAAGGCAATAGATGCTTGAATTCAACCAGCCAATCCTTTGATTCACTTTTGCAATCCGTGATTCGATATGCTCATTCCAAGTCAGATTCTTATAAATGACAACACTGAGATACTTTATTGAATCTTCACTCTCAAGATTTTCTGATCAATTACAGGCTTGATACCTTGACGGGTTTGCAACCTCCTATCACCACCAAAAAATACGAACTTCGAATTCGATGTAGTCACGTTACCACAATGCCAAATCAATGGATAAGTGCTTACCTCTGGTGACCGGTTAAAAAGTGCATCAGACTTGAAAAATGAATTAGACCTCGGGGAAAGTGAGCCAGCTTACCGAGGTGCGGAAAAACGTAAATAAGTACTTTGTGTTGCCTTAAAAGCAGCGTGCAACAGCTTTGTCGCTTGGCTGCAGCATATCAAGTACAGCCTCCGAGATCACTGGACTGGGTTTAACAATGGTATCGTCAGCGATATTTAGTACCCCCTTTCATGTCACAAATGACGTCAAGAAGATGTCTCTGAGACTCTTCTGGGGCTAAGCTTATCCCAAATAGAAGACGTGTCCATCGATAACGTCGTCAACGAGAGTGCGTGATTGTGAGCATGGAAAACTCTTCAGTCAGCTTGATTGTTTGAAAAGCTTCTCTAATGCCGAATTTGGAGAAGGGTTCTTCTTTGTAAAACCTAGGGATGTTTTCTTCAATGGTTGACATCGGGTGGCCTTTTTAATTGTTTGAAATGGGTCTAGTAAATTCGTACTTTAGCAGGCTCAGAGTCAGTAGCTGGATGTTCACACGTCACCATGTTTGAAATCCATGGAGTCGCTTTGGCCACACGAACTAGCTGACCTTTGTCAATATGCTTATCCATTATCCCCTTCATAATTGGAGCTGAGTAGTGATACGTGTCGCCTGAAGGAGCACGGGGAGCACAACTCACATATGCCCCTCAAATAAACACTGGTAAGCATGTTTGATATTTAAGAGTCAACTGACCAGGCAGGTGCTGAACTGGCATATTTTCCACTCAAGAGGCCTCAATCTGTTTAATCTTATTAGCATCATACTTCAATATACCCATGCGGGTATTGTCTGCCAAACCCCACCAAGAGAGGGTAGTACTGTTGGAATGTATTGATCTGAACTATTACTTCATATGAGCTTCCACAGCGAAAACAGTTAAGCTTGGCTTGACCTTTGGTGGGACTGCTTTGTAGTAGTAGAAGAGACGTGATGTGGATTTTGGTATCTCAACAGCAGATAGCTTTTCCAGTTCAGTGATGTGCATAGTATTGCAAGAACAGTCAGAATCGTCTTGCATGATTCAGTTTTCAAGCCATCCTCGAAATCCCGGGTCTTGGTAATTACTTGAGCAAACGAAAAAGTGACAAAGGTTTCTCTCGAAATTACATCGCTTCGATGTCATTGAGCCTAACCACAAAAATATCGCGCTGACGTCTGTCTGCTGCATCAACTGGGAAGTTGCACTTTTGGAAGCTGAGTCTTACAGCTGTTTGCCAATCTTGACTACTCATGTTTGGATCTTGCTTGAGAATTCTCAGAAAGTGGTGGGTGCTTTGTATTATAGGCTCTGCTCCCAGATAGTGCGTTGTTAGCTCTTGAAGCCATGCATCAGGGTTCAGCGTATTTTCGTCTGATATTGGAGCGTCAAATAGTTGTGAGTACATCCTATTCTTGAGGAGGGAATGCTTCCCTTTGTGCAGCCATTGCCTTCGGTCGTTTGGTCGTGATACAATATTTATCTGAGTCGACCTCTTTAGCTGGATTAATGAAATCTTCCATAATACAAAAATCCCTGATCTTAGCCAAAAAATATTTGAGTCGGTCATGATTTTCCCCAATAATGATACCACAAGTTCCCGATCAAGAGTAGAGAGTTTGTGCAAAAGACGAGTGCAAGTAGTGAGTTTAGAAACGTTTAGAGGCTACCCTGACGACTTTTAGGGAATCTTCAACCATTTAAAGTTTACGCAATGGCCTTCTCTGTAACTGACTTCATGTAAAAAAGCTGTAAAGTACAAGTGATGTGTGATGACAAAAAATTTTTCTTTAGCAACATGGCGGTCTTACAAGTAGTAACTAGAAATAAAGAATTGTTCTCGATCTCCAGACAGAACACTATCACTTGTGGGAACAGATGCTTTTGTCTGGTAAAAACGTAATATTGTCAGAGGAAATGATAACCACCCCTCTTCCTTGCTACCATTGAGAAGACCTCCTCAAGGATCTTTGAAAATTATAGTTGAAAACAAACCCTCTCCCCGCAGACCCCCCCTAAAAGCCATAGACGCTTCCATGTGAGGCTTGTACAACAAATAGTTTTTATGTTTGGTACATGTATTCATTAAAAACTCTATTTTATTGAATGGTACTGTTATGTACTGTGCTAATTAATATGACATTCTAAAAAATGATGTGAATGTTATGTTGTCGTTCAATTTTGTCCTTGGTTTAAATTTTATTTTTATTATAAAATGATACATTACCATAACCACACCATGTACACTAACCACAATAATGTCATCTTTCACAACATAAGCTATCTCACTTAAATCAATTTACTGCACTTCTGGCAATTCAACACACAATTTTGCAAAGATAAGTTTATCATAATTTTGTTATATACATTGTCGTGCTGCTTTATGGTGACTGCAGCAGATTCTGAGGCAGAATATAAAAAAATATATTATATTAAATTTGCCCAGCCCAACCTTCAGGGGACACTAAATTGAGGTTCCACTGTAGCTGGGGAATACTTTTTCCTCGCGATGCGAGGCGTGGAGCGCCGAGGGAAGTGAGTTTGTAATCTCGTCGCGCAGTGTGTGAACCGCGCGTGGGTCCTAGCGAGCTGCAAACTCGCAGCTCTCATCTTTACTTGTATATATCCGATGGTGTCCGCCATGACGTCATACAGTAGTTGACTTCACAGCGCGTTTTTGTTTCTAGGCAACATTAGACTGAAGGGTGTTTCTAACACGAAGACCCAAAAAAGAAGACCTAAGACCCCATGGACTAAAACGAAGAGCCCTTGGACTAAAACGAAGACCCCATGGACTAAAACGAAGACCCCTTGGACTAAAATGAAGACCCCATGGACTAAAACGAAGAGCTCTTGGACTAAAACGAGGACCTCATGGACTAAAACGAAGACCTCATGGACTAAAACGAAGACCTCATGGACTAAAACGAAGATCCCCTGGACTAAAACGAAGATCCCCTGGACTAAAACAAATTATGTTAACCGCTGAGGGAAATGTGTCCAAGGGGTCTTCGTTTTAGTCCACGGGATCTTAGGTCTTAGGTCTTCATTTTTGGGTCTTCGTTTTAGAAACACCCGTCGAATGAAAGCCATTTCGAATTCCCATCAATGACCAGAGCACTCATGAACAGTTGTCTTTTCATCGTCTGCAAAACAATAATTACTATCGGTAAATCTCAAGCCATTTCTCATGCAAGCAGAACAGCAAACACAAGAACGCCGAATTGTCAATCCTCGCAGGGGAAGATTTGACACCGAAAAATCCTCTGGAGCGAAGAACGCCGACTTGAAATTCAACGGCGCAAGCAACAAAGATGGATGGAGACGGCAGCAACAAACAGCGGAGCAGAGAGAACGTCACTCAATGAATTTCAAATGCTAAAGTTCTTTAAGAGCAAATGGAAGCGATTTTGGATAATTAGCCTTATAAACATATGAGCGAACATCGCGGTAACAAAACACGTTTTGCTCGCAGACGAATTTGTACCGTATCGTCTTAGACTGTTGGGCTTCCATTCTCTACATGTAAATACGATGAAATGCATTTACGTTGGGTTTTCTCTGTCCAAACTGCAGTCATTCTTCTCAAAAATATCTTTGAATTCATGTTTAGTTCTTATAATTAAGTGTATGGTATCAGCGTAATTAACTGCCCCACCCTTCCTTCTAGCTACCAAAAGACCCCCTGGAAATGAATAAACATAAAACTTGAAAACAAAGCTCTTTCCCCTCTGCCCCTCAAATCATGGAAACTTTCTTGCAAGTTAGAGAGGTTATGTTCAGTACAAGTATTACTCTGAGTACCTGTAATAACTCTTTTTGGAATGTACTGTTGTGGTGTTGTTTTTAGCATAGACACCAGGGAATATCATCGATACATTTTTTGGGTTGCTTGTTGGTTTTATGAGGCTGTTATGCTACAACAAAAGACAGTTACATGATGGTGACCAGTTCTATTTGAAAAATGTTAAAGCATTCGTGTAGAAGCTAAGGGGATAATAATGCGGTCTCTAATGTTTGCCACACTATGTCACTTTTTCTCTGAATAATATTTCTGCCTTTTCTTTCCCAGCTACAGCGAATCAACAACCAACTGATGGTGTAGACGTTGATGCATCGGCTTCTTCTTCTAGTGCTCCTGTCCAAGAGGAACAAGGTGAAGAAACAGGTAATAGCTATGAACACTTTGTTCCTAAAAATAGGTAACCTAAGAAAACAGCCGACATTTGCAGCGCTATCACTGGTTTTCCAATGAAATGTCGTCTGAGAAATGAGCGCAGAAATTCCATACTGATGACGTGTCGCTGCACAGATCTGGTCAGGATAGTGATTCTGCTTGGGGGAAGCAAATTTTCCACATAGCACGACCAATCAGGAGTTCCTCTAGTCTAGAAAATAAGGAATCCTCTGTACCTTGACGAATGGAATGATTAACATTCTTTAACTCGTGTGCATGTATTAGAGTAACTAGTATAATACTTTTTTGTCCTCAATGACGCTCTACAGTTTACCTGGGATGCGTTTTCTTTTTGGGAAAATCCAAATCCGCATTTCCGAATCCAAAAACGGATTGTGCTTTTTTTTGTGCAACTCCAAAAAATTCACGCTCTGGGTGGATTATTCGGATCATTTCCAAATCCGGAATTTTGAGATTCACAATCTGAACGTTTTTTTGGGAAAGGATTTGAAAAAAGTATTTTTGACAAGCGGTTTTCCGAACAAAAATGGATGAAATTCTAACTGAGCCTATGTTGGTGGCGCCTTAAGTTTGAGCCTTTAGTCACATATCATTCCATGTTTGTCATCTATTTACATTCGTAGACTGTTTTTAAGCCCTTACTTGTCCATGTTTTTTGCACGTATGTGGTGTCTGCTTACGCCGGTTTAATAGTTGTGACTACATCCTATTCTTGAGGAGGGAATGCGTCCCTTTGTGCAGCCATTGCCTTCGGTCATTTGGTTGCAATCCAATATTTATAACTCTTTAGCTGGATTAATTAAATCCTCCATAATACAAAAATCCCTGATGTTAACCAAAAAATATTTGAAGGCAGGCCATTGGTCAAGATCGCTAGTGTCAAACTGAGGTCGGTCGGGATTTTCCCCATGTAATGATGCCACAAGTTCCCGATCGAGAGTAGAGAGTTTGTGCTAAAGACGAGTGCAAAAAGTGAGTTAAGAAACGTTTACAAGCTACCCTGACGACGTTTATGGAATCTTCAACCATTAAAAGTTTAGGTAATTGCCTTCTCTGCTACTGACTTCATGTAAAAAAGCTGTAAAGCACAAGAGATGTGTGATGACCAAAAATAGTTTTCTGTAGCAAGATGACGGTTGTACAAGAAGTAACTAGAAATAAAGAATTTTTCTCGATCTCCAGACAGAACACTTTCACTTAAAGGAACGGATGCTTTTGTTTGGTAAAAACTTGATATGGTCAGAGGAAATGATAACCAATCCTCTTCCTTGCTACCAATGAAAAGACCTCCTCAAGGATCTTTGAAAATTATAGTTGAAAACAAACCCTCTTCCCGCCAGACTCCCCCTAAAAATTATAGATGCTTCCATGTAACTTTAAAGGGACTTGTACAAGAAATAGTTTTTATGTTTGGTACGTGTATTTATTAACAACTCTATTTTATTGAATGGTACATGCAGTACTGTGCTAATTAATATGACACATTATAAAAAAATATGTGTATGTTATGTTTTCGTTCAATTTTATCCTTGGTTTAAATTTTATTTTCATTATAAAATCATACATTACCATAACCACACACCATGTACACTAACCACAATGATGTCATCTTTCACAACATGAGCTATGTCACTTAAATCAATGTACTGCACTTCTGGCAATTCAACACACAATATTGCAATGCTGCTTTATGGTGACTGCAGTAGATTCTGAGGCAGAATATAAAAAAGTATATTATATGAAATTTGCCCAGCCCAACCTTCAGGGGACACTAGCCTCAATCCCGAGGATGTCCCCTAAATTGAGGTTCCACTGTAGCTGGAATACTTTTAATATATTAGCAGTGTATGAGAGTAATTGCCATAATATTTCTAGTTCTTAAAATGATCGAACTATTCTATATAATTAAGTGTCTGGTATCAGCATAATTAACTGCCCCACCCTTCCTCCTAGCTACCAAAAGACCCCGTGGAAATAAATAAACATAAAACTTGAAAACAAATCTCTTTCCCCTCTACCCGTCAAACCATGGAAACTTTCTTATAAGTTAAAGAGGTTTTATAATTTTTATGTTCAGTACAAGTATTACTCTGACTACCGGTAATAACTCTTTTGGAATGTACTGTTGTGGTGTTGTTTTTAGCATAGACACCAGGGAATATCATCGATACATTTTTTGGGTTGCTTGTTGGTTTTATGAGGCTGTTATGCTACAACAAAAGACAGTTACATGATGGTGACCAGTTCTATTTGAAAAATGTTGAAGCATTCGTGTAGAAGCTAAGGGGATAATAATGCGGTCTCTAATGTTTGCCACACTATGTCACTTTTTCTCTGAATAATATTTCTGCCTTTTCTTTCCCAGCTACAGCGAATCAACAACCAACTGATGGTGTAGACGTTGATGCATCGGCTTCTTCTTCTAGTGCTCCTGTCCAAGAGGAACAAGGTGAAGAAACAGGTAATAGCTATGAACACTTTGTTCCTAAAAATAGGTAACCTAAGAAAACAGCCGACATTTGCAGCGCTATCACTGGTTTTCCAATGAAATGTCGTCTGAGAAATGAGCGCAGAAATTCCATACTGATGACGTGTCGCTGCACAGATCTGGTCAGGATAGTGATTCTGCTTGGGGGAAGCAAATTTTCCACATAGCACGACCAATCAGGAGTTCCTCTAGTCTAGAAAATAAGGAATCCTCTGTACCTTGACGAATGGAATGATTAACATTCTTTAACTCGTGTGCATGTATTAGAGTAACTAGTATATTACTTTTTTGTCCTCAATGACGCTCTACAGTTTACCTGGGATGCGTTTTCTTTTTGGGAAAATCCAAATCCGCATTTCCGAATCCAAAAACGGATTGTGCTTTTTTTTGTGCAACTCCAAAAAATTCACGCTCTGGGTGGATTATTCGGATCATTTCCAAATCCGGAATTTTGAGATTCACAATCTGAACGTTTTTTTGGGAAAGGATTTGAAAAAAGTATTTTTGACAAGCGGTTTTCCGAACAAAAATGGATGAAATTCTAACTGAGCCTATGTTGGTGGCGCCTTAAGTTTGAGCCTATAGTTACATATCATTCCATGTTTGTCGTCTATTTACATTCGTAGACTGTTTTTAAGCCCTTACTTGTCCATGTTTTTTGCACGTATGTGGTGTCTGCTTATGCCGGTTTATTTTCCAAGCAATTGAAAAAACACACACTTCATCGGCTTCAGTTTTAAATTCTTATAATTTAACTATCCAATAAGGTGTATTCTATCCGAGAATCGTTTGTTGTAGTTTATGTCGCTTAAAATTCCTTCTTGTCTTCGCCGCGAGGATTAGTTTGTTGTTTTTTCGCTCTATTTTTGTCATCACAAGAACACGAGGACATGCCGTTGTCCTGGTAATGATCCTTTTTTCGGATCTTTCGGGTTTTTGTTGTTAGTGAAGAATCCATATGATATGAGATCACAAATCCGTTTTTGGATTCTCCAAAAAAAGCACAGCCTTGGTTAGTTAGAAAGATCATCGGTAGCTATAGATTAATGTGCAACTGAGCGTATGTTTTCTTGGTCGTGAATTAGAATCCTGTTTTGGTGAGTGTGTTTTTGCTGGTAAGAATTTTGTAGGCTGCATACTCAATTGTATAAATATGGATTATACTGTATTCAGATCCTGGTTGTGAGCGGTCTAGTGGTGTAACGCCTTCTCTGCATTTAGTTTTGTGACGCGAAGACTAGAACTTTCGCTAGAACTCGTTCGGTTGTGTGGCTTCGCTCGAAGCACAACTTTCACATGTATTCCGAAGGAACCTTACAGCCTTTGACGGTCAGTACAATAGTGTAGGTCTCAACTGAACTTATTTTGACTTCTAGTTCGAGTTTGGTAGGTTTCGCCCACCGTGTGACTCAATAAACGGACCAGCTTGCTGGATTGTGTTTAACTATTGGTTGCTTCAGCAGCAGTTTCCTCGCGCCTCTTTTAACCAGAAAAGGCGGTCGCTTCATAGTGGTGATCTATGTCTACACTGTATAGCTAAAAGAGATTCGTTGACTCCACATTAAAGAAACAAAGAAATTTTAAAAATGCCTCTGTTTAGCGAAGTGATCGGATTTTGTCTTAAACAGGGTCAGTGTGACACACCCCAAGCAAACTTCGCGTCCGGGAGGTGAGGGAAGATAAAATATGCAGTCTACAACGTTGTATATTTAACTTGTATTTTGTTGCAGTTGATAGTGGTTCGCCTCAAGATTCGTCAGACAGTGGAGACGCATCGACTGGGACTCAAAGCTATGAAAACGTTCCTGGTGAGTGGTTTTAGATTTGTTGATCGATAATTAAATGTATTCACAGCGTGACGTTTTAAAAAAGATCGCTATTATCATCATGTGATGGAGCACTGTGGTACACAATGTGTAGTTCCAAAAACATCCATACCCGTAATGAAAGGCAAGGGAAACTCTGAGGCGAGAGAGGTCTAAAAGGAGGCTATTTCCGACGGGCTGGAGGTTGGCTTCTCAAGGTCCTTTTTCCCGAGGCTTCGAGTAAGATTTATTAAACAATTATTGGATGAGGTTTTTGTGATATCCAGAATAATCAAGGTCGAGGTAGAGGGTATCAGCCGAGGCGGAAGGCTGAGGTTGATAACCCTTACCCAGGCCTTGATTATTCTGGATATCACAAAAACTGAATCTAATAATTGTTTTATTATACATTGAACGAAAAAAACCCTATTTTTTCGATGTCCTTTTCGAAGCAAACCCGGAAGTCATGTTTTGCTTCTTCACTCACGGCAAGTAAAACAAAGGGCGCGAACTTGACATGATAACCCTTAGAAATCATGCACCCGTCATACATGACATGATTACCCGTGACCTTGAGTGTCCTTGACATGATTATTGTATAATCTATAGCTAGATGAAATCTCAGGCGCTGATTTCGAAAATTAGCTGCACGCTTTCGGCCAATCAGAAAAGAGATAGTGAGTTGAATGTATAGTAATAAAAATTAACAGCTGCATGCTCTGTTAAGCAAGCTATATGTTATTTTACAGTTAACCAGTGTTTCAGCACCAGAATTATTGTTTCCATCGATGACCTTTTATTTACTGTCGGCTGAATGCTTTTTTTCGTGACTAACGCGACACGTTTATGTAATAAAATTGTGATTGGCTCATTAATAAACTTCATGTTATGTAGCTATTGCTCTATTACAGAATATATGATATTCACCGTAATGAGGTCGTGTTTTAAGCCCGGGGGTACTCGACCAATATTTGGGTATAGGTAAGCCGCTGAGGGTTTGAAACCCTGACCCCTGTCTAGGACAAAAAAAATCCTAAAATACATACCCTGTTTAGGACAACACCCTCAATTTTATTACCCTGATTAGGTCAAAGGAGCAAATGCACGTCTTCTTGTTTTAAAGCCATTTAATTGGGAATTACAATAGAGCAACTTCACGTTATAAGCTTTCGTATACTTGAAGTACAAACAAAATTTTGTGGTTCGTTGATCTCTTTATCTGCTGTTCGGCCGAATCTTCGTTGGCGCGCTTGATTTGACCAACAGTCTCTGCTAATAAATCTTTAAATGAGTCCATTAACTCTTTACTATTCTGTGGAATGAGATAGGACACTTTTCTTTGCTGGCGGAAAATTATGACACAAAAAGTAGAGTCGAGAAGAAAAAATTAAGAAACCAACGAAATGTTGGTTCAAAAGCTGACGTGCACGTGATATACAGAGCCATTTTTCCCCCGGTATGGCTGCCTATTGTGCCCCTGGCCAAGTACCCAGGTCCTGTTGTATCTCGTACGGTCAAATTATCTGTTTCTGCCTTCTTCGCGGGCTTATTGGAAATAGAATTTTTCTTACACGGTTTTGACAGAAAGCAAGTTGTTGAAAGTAACAGTTTTTAACTGAAAGAAAGTAATCAAGCGTTTCCGCTTTAAACCTTAATCGTTTACAAATATATAAATATTGCAATTTGTTTTATTGTACAGTATTTCATGTTTCATTAGTTTCAGAAAAAGACACGTCTTTTATAAAAAAGTTAGCTGTTGGCCTTGACCGAACACCTCATCGGGTTATCAAAGGCTGGGAACATTTGGCAGATACGAAAGAAATAAACGCCCCACTTGATGTCAGGCTTAGATGCGGAATTAACTCTGAAAAGAGTTGCACTCAGTCGCTGTTTGACGTTTTTACAGCAGAATTTGTAGAAACGACACTGGGAGATTTGATAGATGCTCTGACCAGCATTGGGAGAAACGATGTCAAGTTGATCATTACAGACTCTTATAAAGGTATGTATTTATATAGTTACTAACACCTTTTTATGTGCCTTGTTTTGAGCACTTCAGAACAAGACACAAGAAATGAATAACTGAAGCTGCAGCCTGTTTAATTCACCATAAAAGTTCAGTCTGTAATGCAGGGCCCAGTTGTTCGAGGGCCGATTAGCGCTTAACCCGGGGTTAAATTTAACCCGCGTTTCTTTCTCTTGTGTTCAAAAGCATTTTCTCGGATAATTTCTTCTGTTATTTTTAGGGCTTCAAATCATCAACTTGTAGACAAAAAGAATGAAAACTGAAATGCTTTTTAAACTTTTATATGTGAATTCAAATCTCACACTAACGCTGGGTTATCTTAACCCACAATCATCGTCAAAAGTGTTGGGAAGGTTGCCTTTTTTACCTCTTCTTTTCCTTCCTCCCCCCGCCCCTGGCCCAATGTTGATCAAAACGTTAATGTTTGTGCGCGTAATTGTTCTGTTATATCCCAACATTGAATAGGGGGGACGGGGGATATTTAGCAAAAGAGAAAACTCTCTTTTTTTCAGAATTAAAATGGACTACTGTTAAGTTGTACAACCTTCCCAACTACTTTTGTCTGTGATTGCAGCTTGAACAACTCGGCCCAGGCGTATTTTTCGGGCGAGCTTACGCTCAGTATTGCCTGCAGCCGCCATCTTTGATTGAAAACAGAAGAAGATTGGTATAGAAGAAAATTTATTCTACAGGGTGAGCTTAAGGTTCCAGCGCGGCAGCACAACGATGAATAAATTCTAGTGCTCGCCTAACCCACCCACCCCTACCCCCCCCCCAAAAAAAAAACAACAAGCAAACAAACAAACAAAAACAAAAACGCTTGCACCATAGGCTGTAAACGTGAAAATGAATTTATTCAAAATTACATTAATGACATCACGCACTCTATAGCTGTTAACTTTTAAACAGCACTTTTTATATTAATAATCGTAGACAAAAACATAGTCTATAATCATTTCATATTGTCCTTCAGCAGCATGTTTTGAAAGTAAAATATTGTTCGAGTGACGCCTTTAACTGCTGTAAATAAAAATTAAAATAGAAAATTTCTTTCATCCAACAGATGCTCCACACCGAACAATAAAGTTCTATGACTTCGCCCGCGATAAAGGTGATTTAATTTTTAAAATGACCAACAAGTTGGATAAGAAGTCGTCAGTAAATAAAAACTGGCGCTTCTTGGGTGGTAGAGCCCCGTTTCGTCTTTCTGCAGAAAGACTGGACGAGATTGAATTTGGTCAATCCACTCAAATCCTGATGCAGTACCTCTATGAGAAAGAAAACTTTACCATTGGATATTTTTATGACAAGGTAAAGGAATTACAGCGCGGAGACGTGGTGCGAATCCTGGACAGATTTATGAATGGTAAGTTACTTTCTTAAAATGTTTGGCCTCACAATACACTTAAGCCTCACCACTTGGACAAAGGTCACCATAGGGAGAGGGTCAAGTGCCCGTTGTAGAGAGGTGGCCCAGGATATCAGTGTCCAAAGATGAGTATTTAGATTTAGCCTGCGAACAAGCACTCTCGGCGATCTCTTCGCAGAGATAGCATACACTCCGGCTACATAAAGATACCTAAGTAAATACGATCAAACATCAGACACATACTGATACTGTTCCTTTCCATATTTCATCGGAGGGAGCAGAGCAGGTTTAAGGTTTTACCTTGATTTCAGTTTAATACGCGTTGTTCAAGTAAAAACTAATTGACCGATGTTGGCGTCATGCGATGAGTTTACAGGGTGTCCCAAAAGTTCGTTCCTGTAATTTCATGCGCTATATTTTTACATAAAATTTTTAGAAGATGGTTATCGCTCTATCGAGTACGTGTATTCAGACGTTCAGTAACCGGCATGCCCGCCCTTTATCACATTCTGTAGCCGTTGCGGCATGGAGTAGGATACGTCATGTAGCGTGTAGAACCCCAGATGATCCATTTTGAGCTTTTTTTATCACCTGGTATGGAGGAGCCACCTCGACCCTCAAACCAATATTTTGGGCGTTCATTCAAAAAAGATATAATCATCCCTGACCCTTTCCACTGTAAGGTTTTTGTACCTCTTTACAAATTTGAGACGAGCTAAACGTCGCTTGGCTGACTGAGCAGAGTTTTTTATTAGCCATTTCTTGGGCCTCCAACCTTCGCTTTTCATGGACCTGCTCCAGACTTGGCTTGCTAACTGTTGTACCTAGCTCTTTCTTTAACTAGTAGATAAGTAAGTACATATGCTTCTGCTCTCACGTAGCGGGACGTATTTGCGTTAGGAGGGTTTTATCTTTCATGATATTCACAAAAAACAAGGAAAGAATTCGAGCAATTCGGGCTACAAAATACAAAAAAATATGTTGCGGAAAAATATACTCGCGCATGCGCTCCTTGGGTACGAAAGTGCACAAACCGTATATACCAGTCAAAAAATGGCACAACAAGTATGAAATAGTTAGCAATTAATGAATTCGGCTTTCGTAGGGTATGAAGAATGAAGCAGATCGAGGAGAGTGTTATCCAACTCGGCCTCCGGCCTCGGTGGATGACATCCTCCTCGATCTGCTTAATTCTTCATATTCTACGAAAGCCGAATTCATTAATTGCTTTATTATTCATTCAAAATAATTCCTAGTTTAAAAACACAGCTAAAATATGCTTACCTGCATCGATGTTAAGTTCATCTTCAATAGTGTACGTTTAGGTTTGTCCAGCTCCGCAAATATTCTCCAAATAGCAGATGTCGCCCTCCGAGTTGTCTTCTTACTGTTTTTGCCATGTTTTTAGCTATTACTTCACGTAGTTCCAGCTGTAGTTCTTACTCTTGAAACGGATAAAATGTCCGCCATTTGTTGTTCACAACCAAAACAACTCCACCTCGTCCACAGGTCTTCTCGGTAACGGTGCCTTAACCTGCAGCGAGCTGCATTTTTGACGTCATTTCCTCGTTAAACGCTGGGGGTCTCTATAAAAGGAGACCTTCCTTAGGAAGATTTTGATAAGTTTCCGATTACCCAGCCAAGATGGCGACACGTTTTTGAATTCTCCCGCGTCTCGTGAGAAAAATCTAAGCTACCGCAATATGTTGCATTTCATCATTAGCCAAAATAAAGAATACTTATAGAAAACCTGTCCCTATTGGTCTTCAATTGAATTAATAACTATCCACGCGGATAACGCGTATCACACGTACACGGCTTCGATTAACCGTCGTGGAAGATTCGGTGGCTACAGCAGAAAAATATTGGCTTTTCCCAGGAAAATGATGCGTGTTCAAGTAGACCAGTTCGTTGCATATCGTTTCTTTTACCTTTTGGCCGCTGTCAACTGTATTTGCGAAGTCAGGTAACCGTCTAAGTGAGGGAAAATGAAGTAAGAAGTATTTATGGCGGCGCGCTCACACAGAGGAATTGAGAGTGGAATTTATTTTTATGAACCATAGACATGTCAGTCGACGTCCCAATCCCGGTAAGCTTTTTCTAAGAAGAAACTATCAATAGCAAGAATAATACAACTCTCTCTTGCTGTACAGTATACTCACAGAGGTATTGTGATGCAAATAAAACAACCGTTCAACTGCAGTGTATTGCATGTAAATTTCCTCTTGTTTGTTAGGTAGATCGGGTCTCACACGATTATGACAGATAATAATTTTTTTCAATTACATTACATAGGGTCCGGAATAATTATCTACAACTGTTAAAGGGGCTTAAGATGATCTTAGCTGAACTGGGGCTTCTCCGTAACTAGTATTGTTTCTTTCTCTGATTGTATTCCCGTTGGCTTCATTTGTTGTTCAAACGACGGCGCCGTTTGATTCATGTACTAGAACATATGTTCCCGAATGTTCACATTTCTGGGTCGAGAAACGCTCTTATCACAACACACTCGTTCTATTAACTAAAGTACTTTGCAATAGATGTTTTTGAAAGAGAATAGGAAGTTAAGAACCAAGCGAGAATCAGTAAAGATTTAGGCTCATTGACTCTAAGCCATACTGCGAGCGACGATCGATGGCAGGATTCGCCATTCGATATTTTTTTAAACTCTTTCGCGTAAAAATCATAAAGTACACCTTATAACAACGTTGCGTAAGTTAATATTTATTTGTTACAAGATATGTTTTGATTTTTTACAAGAGTAAGAGTAAAGTGGATTCTCACGTCGAGAAGCCAACCGTTGACATGTTTCAAATCTTTAATATTAATTTGATTGAGCTGGGGGGAGGGACCTTTTTATACCTAGCCCCGGCGTTTAAGCACAAAGTTCTTCCAAATTTTGTCATCAGTAACTGGTTATGGTGAATTATGCGTGCGCTTTTAGCCGATCAGAATTGGGGAAATATTTTGAATGATATAATAATACATTTTAGTATATACACACTCAGTGATCTTGGTGATTTAAGCAATCTGATTGGTTCGCTATCTCGGACTATTCAATCCAACTAGTGGTCTATTGTCAATGCTGCGTTCTGATTGGTTGGACTACTACTAGCCTATATGTTATAGCCCCCGAGTAGCGAAAAGCGCGGGCTTTTTGGCAGCCAAAAAGGATTAAAGTCTAGCTTTAACTAGCTAAAATGTTTTAGTTCTCGATATTTTTGACTAACTAGTTGGATTTTACTAAAACAATTATTCCTCTCGCCCTCATGGCCTCTGAGTCAATAGCCCATTCGGGCTCGAGGAATAATTGTCAAAAATTGTTAAATATTCACCTCCTAGCGAGTGGATGATGTGTTAGCTCGGTGTTTTTCCCGGTTTTTTTAGAGAATGATCTTTTAAAAGTCGACAGAAACGTAGGTTTGACTTTTTTTAAGGCAAGAAAAGACTTCGAAGGATTCAAAACGGCGTTTTTCCATTTACTGTAGCTGAATTTTGTGCTCGGTGGATTGTTTACAACTCCCGTTTATTCGCGTAAAAGAGGCCGTTTCGTGAACTTAGCGTTTCCTAGCAAGAAAAATTTGGCCCAAAAATCGAAGTTTATTGATGGCTAACAAATTTGAAAGCAAATGTTCGGAGAAATTCTACGTTTCAAGTAAATAGGACAAAGAATGCTACAGGAAAACGGCGCCTTACCTCGAGCAACCGAGCTGCCATTTTTGTCAGCACTTCATGCGAAGAACGACACAACAAACCTTTTTGGCTATAAACTTGGCAAGTCAACAGAAAACAAATAAGCTCTACATTTCTTCTCAGGTAAGGGAACAATTCAAACTTTTAACGATTCCTTTAACCCATTACGCTGTTGTTTGCGAAGTGACAAACTTGTCAATTGCCATGTTTGAAAATTCTGCACAGATCTGTTCTTAAGGCTTTCGCATGATTTTATCTGTCAATCAAATCGTACTTTTTAATGGTTTTCTCACTGATTTTGTTTAGATCACTTCGTGTGTGTATACTAAAACAATTATTCTTTCCAATCTCGATAGATAGTGGCATTAGGAATATTTACCTCGATTTCAAATAATTATTGTTAAATATTGAAAGACACAACTTTTGTTGAAACGATTTGCTTGATAAGTCTGATCGTATTGCATTACAGACTTGTAAAGTAGAGGAACGAAGTTTTGGGACACCCTGTATTTTGTACTAACACTAAAGGAATTTATACCTCTAAAAATGCAATATTGATTTGTAAAGCACGCATTGACCGCCGAACAATAGCGTACGTGGGCTTCTGGTAATGTACCACGTTCCGTCAAAGCATCACTTTTTATCGACGTCAATCTGTCCTACCCGGACAGCCATTTCAAAAACGATCACATGATGCTACGATTACAGCGATAACGACAATTAAACTAGAATCAAGGTCGTCAAACTAAACTACTCTGCTCCCTGTGATTTCATATCATACTAAGTACCTTCACCTCCTGAAACAAACTCGTTTTAACACTTCACTGAAAACGTTTGGGTAGATTGCTGCTCTCATTCGATTGCTGCTGCTTTCAATTCTCCCCCGCCGCCCCCCACCCCCGAACTAAATGTTTTTTGAACCATTATTTTCCGATAGCAATCTTTTATTATTTAAAATTCGTTGCCTGGGTGAATGGATTAGATATCGCTCAAATCAGGGAGGTTTATTTATTTATGCGCTTTTGTTACCTCTGATCTAACAGCAAGACAAATATTCTCTTCAGTTTTCCATACTTTTCTTATTCTACCAACTGATGGCAATTTCAAACTCAAAACTGTCCCTTAAATGGTCTCAATACTTTGGGAAATGGCCCGTTTCGTTAAGTCGCATAAGCCCTTGGCTAAGTTATATCTGCTCATCCAGGCAACTACTCTGCTTATACTGTTGGGTCGATTAAGATGTTTTGTACTTTGTTTGAACTGTTTGGAAAGTTGAAATATAATTTCCAATTTTTATTTCAACAGAGAGTGAAATTCGCAGAGATAGGACGATGAAAGAAGTCATCAAGTTAGACGATAAAAATATGAGGTCTATTTGTGTGCTTTTCAACAAACCAAATTCGGTATTGAAAGACTGGAAATGCCTTGCAAAGTCATTTGCCGTTCCAGAGGATATATACCAAGATTGTGCTCCTGAGAGACCCAAGAGCCCGACTGAAACTCTGTTTGAGTGGATTTTTGCTGCAAAAGATCCTAAATTAACTGTGGGGCAGCTTTGCAATGCCCTTAAGAGTATCGACCGGAATGAGTTAGTCGAAGATGTAAGGAAGTATTATGAACAACAGTCAGCGCGTCAACCCTGAAAGTATATCACCTGTAATTCACACGTTTAACGGTACGGCGTAGTCCTACTGCTTGTTATCTTGAATTTTTCTTGTTGCGGAGTGCTATGCTACAACAGGGACAAATGCTGGTTTTAGATCTGTGTAGGTTTTAGGAGGGGTAGGCTTTATGAGTTCAGAAAGAGTAACTGGTTTGGTTATCTTTTCACCTTTAACGTAGTTTTTATTTTATACCTTTATTGTACATTGTTCAGTTTACACTGAATTTAATACTTACTCTTAATCTGTAGAACACTAGCTTTTTACTAGATACCACTGGCCAGAAGGAGAGGAACAGCTGGTATTTGTTTCCAAAAAGTCCCAAAGCTTCGTGCGTTGAAAAACAAATCTTTTTTGGGGCGGGTGAGGTCGGGGGGATGGGGGGGTAACAGTCTTTTGAAAACTATACAAGTTGAGATTCTCTAAGCTGCAACCGACTTGGCATAAGAAGTGAACTTAAGAAATTAATAGCTTATAGGCTCTGTATGTCTTCGGGCCGAACTTATGAAAACAAACGCCTGCTTCGAGTGCAATAGTATAGGGAGCCGAAATTGCACATTGTGTATTTTGTATTGTTATTTATTCCATTCTATGAAAAAATATTACATCAGTTGTGCAATAAAAATCCATAGAAGGTGTTAAGACAAAAACTACATATACATAAGGTTAGCAAAGAAATTAAGAATGGAGAATGGCACAGTATAGTTAAACTAATTATGGCCCTTTAACAAGATTGATTTGTCATTTATTTTTGGCACTTGAGCGTTGCATTTTTTAAGACACCATTTTTGTCCGGATAATTTCTGAGGTTTCCCGAAAACCTTTCTTTTAACCCTTTCACGATTGTTTTAGCTGTACTCGTACCTCATGAAACGATTCATATGTTCGTTTCTAAACCCGCTTTCAGTTTAAACGTTTAATGTGGTAAAGAGCGAATCTGGCAAAGGATCGATCTTTGCACTGATTCCTTATTCTGGAAAATTCTGATCAATCCTGCCAGAGTTGAACGCCAAAATGCCTCCTAGTTTAACCAGCCCAAAAAGGAGGAGCTGGCTAAAAAATGCGTTTTTTTGGTACTATCTGGCGGTTGCCAAAGGGTTAAAGCAACGGGAAAAATTTGTAATAATTTTATAATTGAAATTGTAATAATTATAGTTATAATTTCCAATTTGTAGTTATAGTATAATTGAGTGACTCGAAAAGTTATCGAAGTTTTTTATCTGTTACTTAACAGTTAATGAATGAGGCTGAGTATCTTGTGAAGAATTATGGAGATCGAGGAGGGTGTTATCCGTCGAGGCCGTAGGCCGAGGCGGATAACACCCTCCGAGATCTCCATAATTCTTCATATGATACGAAAGCCGAATTCAATAACTGTTTTATTATTCATTCAAAATAATTCCTAGTTTAAAAACATAGCTAAAACATGCTTACCTCCATCGATCCATCGATGTTCAGTTCGTCTTCGATAGTGTACGTTTAGGTTTGTCTAGCTCCACAAATATTCTCCAAATAGCAGATGGCGCCCTTCTAGTTGTCTTCTTGCTGTTCTTGCCATGTTTTTAGCTATTTTTTCGCCTAGTTCTTACTCTTGAAACCAGTGAAATGTCCGCCATTTTTTCAAGTTCACAACCAAAACAACTCAACCTCGTCCCCAGGTCTTCTCGGTTAACGGTGCCTTAACCTGCGAAAACGCTGCATTTTTGTCGTCATTTCCTCTTTAAAGTTAAATTTCTTCCAAATTTGGTCATCAGTAACTGGTTATGGTGAATTAAACGTGTGCTTTTAGCCAATCAGAATCGGGGAAATATTTTGAATGAATAATAAAAGGACTTAACTAGTCTCTAAATAAAGTTATAAGCAGCTTAGCTTGGCTTGTACAAAGGGTGGGAGAAGCTCACTTGAAAGAAGAGTGTTTGAGGCAAGTGTAGTCATGTGTCGAGCGTCTTGTGTCATGCGTGTCTTATCAGTCTTTAATAGCAAGAATGGTTGATAAGAAATCCCAAAATTCGAAGCGAACTGTACCATTAATTTTAAAGCATCTGCACAAGTGATTGAAGACATTTTACAAGACGGCTCAAGTGACTGGACAGGCCAAGCACAAGGCATCAAGGAAAGGGCAAAAACCCTTGCCGCGCGTCCTTAGCGCCTAAATTTATACGTGAAGATGGACGTCTTTGTAAAAGGACGACGTATTTTTCTCGTAATAATCAAGCACCTGTATCTGTTTAGTTTTTAGTTAAGTATGAGATCAGGTGCGTACTTTTCCTGATGGATGGTCGTGAAATATCCTAGTATATAGCTCAAGACAAGCTAAACCATTTTGGTACATTTTGTGTGATTTAATTTGTATTACAACAAATAAAAGCGTAACTACTCTAGTTATTGTGAGATTCTTCCTTTTTTATGGCAAGGGTCGTTCTTCTAATGTTAATATTAAAAATTATAGGACTCCCGTGCGCGGGCTCACGTCCGTTGTAAAAGAAAAACAGCAGTTTTCTGGATCGAACAAGCATGCAAGTTTCTTCCGCAACAGAGACAGCGCCTTCCACTTCCCTCACAGGCAGCCCAAGCTCAGTATGAGAGTTTAATCATTAATATGGTCTCATATTGCGTAATCCTTAAAATGGACGTAAACATAAAAGATTTGTATGGGAATTCAGGTAAAAGATTCAAGAAGATAAATACTCGCTAGAATTTTCAGTAAAATACACCTTACCTTATTTACTTTACTTGCTTTTGCTTGCTTTGAGGTTATTTTCCCGATCCACTGCGAAGTAAATAAGGTAAGGTGTATTTTATTGAAAATTGTAGCGATTATTTATCTTCTTGAGTCTTTTAGCTAAATTCCCATACAAATCCTTTATGTTCACGGTCATTTTAAGGATTACGCATTATGAGACCATATTAATGAGTAAACTCTTACACTGAGCTTGGGCTGCCTGTACTCCTAGCTCCTCGCCGTTTGGGACGTTTCGCGAGGAGGAAACGTCCCCAGCGGCAAGGAGCGAGGAGAAACGGCTGTTTTTGCAGGCTACATTTGCATTCGCACCTGACGTAGCGTTGCCTGGCAACCGTAAAATGCACCCTGACGCCACAAGTGGATGACGTCCACTGCGGACACCCAAGAGATCAATAGAAATATTTAGCAACTCGATTCTCTGCCTCGCTGTGCGATTAACGCGCGACAAATTTATAAACCTCGCTTCGCTCGGAATAGACCTCTTTAGCTTGTATGTTTTGTTTTCTCAATACAGGTACATATACGAACACGAATACATAGTGTTCGGATTTCCCATAAAGTTCACGACCATCTCCTTACATTTTTTTTGGGTTAAGCCTCATACTGTGTTCCATACAATAATTATGTATATCTCTAACAGCAAAATCCAACAGGCTACTCGGGTTACGTGGTATTACTTCAAAGAAGGCCAGTTGGAAAATCTGGACTGGACTATGGACTGGCCAGAGTCCAGTCCAGGTTCTCAACTGGCCCTTCAAAAACGGTCGTATCATCAACATACTTCAATCTTGAGTGCCAGTCACCCAGTAGTCTATTAATCATTATAGCAAAAAGCGTAATTCCAAGTTTAGCTCCCTGTCAGGAACCCTAAAACTGCATTCTTTAAAACGAAAGATAGACCCCTACCCCGCGTTTTACTGACACCCGTTGATTTCTTCAAACACGCACAGTTTTTGTTTTTATACAAAATAGACTGATATTCCACGCATATATGCATTTTAAGACCCTAATACTTCTTTTCAAATCTTTCCATGAATTTTACAGACACAACAATACATTTTTCAGCAGCTATAAATTTTTTTGAATAATCCCCTACCCCACGTAAAGTTACAGTCATGGGTGTAAATGTATGCAAGCATCAATTTACGTGCACTAACGTGACACCAAAAAAAAAAAAAGAAACGGAGGGCATTTTACACGTCATACGCTTGGTTGCACATGAGTAATAAAAGGCCAAAATAAAGTTATATTAGTACGTGTTATGTTTGTTTGTTTGCGAACGAAAACAAGTGCGTATTCGAATGTTTGAAACAAACCAAAGTTATTGGGTTGGGGAGGAGGGGGAAACAGAGTAAGAGAAAAATGTTCTTATCCCCTTGTCCTTCGGACAAGTACTATATTATATTTATAAAAAGTTTTCCTGTATTTTTTCCAATTAAAAATGTGCTTGTTCCATGGACAAGTCATGTCAAAGGTTTACATGTCCAAACTAAATTTCTACCCGTCTCGGACAATCGGGCATAGGTTTTGGCGCACCCTGGGAAAGCACACACAATAAAATTTATCACGAGGAACGATTAATAAATGAAAAAAATAAACGAAGTGTCTACGAGGCGGCTAAAGAATTCCATCCCCGCACCCCACTCCATAACATTTCTAATGATCCGTCCCTTACGAAAAGGCTCTTAGGGCCTGTTTACATGGAGGTGGAGGACCCCAGGAAGGTGAGGTAACCTGCTTAGGTGGGGTAAAAAAATAACCCTCCTTTACATGCAATCTTACAACCCCGCCATCCCGGGGTGTACTTTCTCAAGATTATTGAATGGTCGCTAAGCACGTAAACAAGAAAAATGCTGGCAAACCACGTGTTTTGGCGATTAATGCACTTCTACACTCACTTGTTACTCTTGTTGCAACCTTCAGTGCCATGGCTTTCTATTGTTAACTTTAATAGTGATGCAAAGTCACCGCCAAAGTGAATTCTGCGAGAATTCGATGTATCACGAATCCGACCCCGGCCAGGCGGGTTAACCCACCTTGAATCGTTTTCATGGCAAAATGTGGCCCCGGCTGAGAGGGTAACCCGGTCTGGTAGACCGGGCTACTCGCCTTGGAGGGTCACCCACCTATCACGTAAACGTGATCAAATTAAAATGAGACATTATATGGATAGGCGGGTTACCCCACCTAAGCGAGTTACCTCACCTACCTGGGGTCCCCCACCTCCATGTAAACAGGCCCTTACAGTCTAAAAGTTTCACCTCAGCATTAATTTTTGGACGGACGTGTAACAGAGAACTTATTTGGACTTGCACCCTATAGTTTCATGAATATCACTTGCCAGCTTTTGACTCGTGGTAACCTCACGCTAGTTGTTTCAATTCATTTATTCTAATCTTATTCCTAACCAATAAAAAGTCACAACACAGTTATTGACCACTAAAACGCTTACCCGTAACTTAAATTTTTACATATATTATACGATCATCGAAACAAAAATGATGTTAACGTCGTAGTTCCTTTAACTAGGTTTTATAGTAAAGTGTAATAAAACAAGACAACAACCATATGGCGTAATGGGGGAACACCGCTCCGCGATCGGCGTGGTGGACGACTTCCATAGCGTGACCATAAAGCCTTACTTATCTCCCCGGCGCTAATTTACGCGCGCCGGATCGGACAAGTTCAGGTAGGTCCGAAAGAAACAAACTTAAAACGGCCTAACACTCCACGGCACTACTATCTGAAACCTCCGGCCAGCATCGCGCAACTTAATGGAACGGTGTAGGCAAATATTTTGTCCTAGGAACTTTATCTTATCAGCACTACGAGCCGACTCCGCAGGCACGTGCTGGAATACAATCAAATATAAAACTTTGCGTTAAAATCAAAGCTTGGGGAAGTCGCCGTGAGACTTACAGCGAAGGCGAAGGAAAGCGGTGAGCCCGTATTTATTAGGAACAACGATAAAGCCTCCAAAGGGAGGGAAGGGTGGGAATTACAAAACTTTAGGACGGTTGAAGTAACCAACTTAGCAATACAGCTCGGAATGAGACACAGGACTTTTACTAGGCCTTTTATAGTCCGAGTGCTATCCCAAGGCAAGCCAATGAAAAATACTCTACTACAGAATAGAACGTGCACCTGAAGTGCTCCACGAGATATGCATGAGGAACATTATTTTTACTAGCCATACAAAACGAGCGATACATTAGAAACTAGCCCCAACTGCAACAAAAACAAGGATTGCTATTGTAACAGTAATTTCCCAACTATAGCCGTGATTTTACGTACTACCCAGCACTTTTACCCACCACAAGTAAACTTCTACGAGATTTGATAGGGGCTATAGCATAACACTGCGTTACATGTTGTTGATTGCTGGCGTCACGCTCCATTAACCGTGTTTTACAATTGAGTTGTAAACCTTTCTAAAGTGATCTACCAAAACTTCAACAATTAAACAAATCTAACAGCTCATTAAAAGGGGGAAGAAAAGCAGTGTTTGTTCGTCTAGTTTGGACACGAAACAAAAATTTGCATGAACAGACTACGAGTAGTCCCCGTTTTTCCTCAGGGATGGTGGGGCTAGCGAAACGCGAGCGCGCGTGAAAAACATCCCACACGAGAAAGGCGAGACGCGGCGGGGAGAGAGAAACTAATTTTTCTCTCTCCCCGCCGCGTTCCGCCTTTCTCGCGTGGGGTGATTTTCAAGCGTGCTTGCGTTTCGCTTGCTCCACTATCCCTGATGAAAAATGGGGACTACTCGTAGTCTATTGCATGAATGAAGTTTCAAACATCCAGCATGTCCACTTAGTTGAAGTCCTGTAGATGAAATCCTATGGTGTGACCACTCAAGTGAAACTAAGAGAGGATAAAGGGGACAGAGAAGGCATCCCCCATACACACCCTATTCCATAGGTAATTCGTCTCGAGTTATTTTTAACACCACAGATCTCAAGAGGGATTAGACAACAGCCAATCACATAGCGCGAATGTGTTCCGCGTGGATGACCCACGCTCAGAGCCACGCGTCCTTCACGAATTGACGCAGAACAAAATGGCGGAAGACGCGGAGAGCGATATTGCTATTCGTTTTGTCCACGAAAACGACTACAGAGAGATTTCTGCTAAAGCTGTGTCAGCGAAACGGAAATTAAAAAAGAATCGCCCTTCCTCTTTTGTATAGAGCTAACAGTACAGCAGGGAATATTCTCTCAGGATCATTTATAATTTACAGTTTGAAGAGAGCAATTTCTGGTTTGATATTTATTCTTTTATTAGTCTTTTATTATTTAACAAAAATAACATTTGGCGTCCTACTTGCTTTACTGTACAAACGACCGGTTTCAATAGACCGGCGAAATTTCTCATTTTATTAAAGCACTGAAATTACGACAACTTCGAGTTAAACCGATTTCACGGGTTGTCAAAGAGTCCAGCGATTCCCTTTTCCTAGGTGAGCGCTGACTCATTTCGCTTCAATATGAAGGAATGCTCTCGATCACTTTACGCTTTCATTGCCTTTCGCCCGACATGTTTTGCACGGCGTTTAGTCATGCGAAACCTCCACGAAACATCCACGCAGCGTGCGAGGTAACTTTATCCCGATTCTAAAAATAACTCGAGACGAATTACCTATGGAATAGAGTGTGTATGAGGGATGCCTTCTCTGTCCCCTTTAGCCTCTCTTGGTGAAACCTATCCAGAAGTACTTTCACAAGGTACTAATTGCTCAGCATTTATTTCTAACTTTTGAGACTGAATGAAATACTGTGGTATAACCATTCAAATGAAACCTATTCCAAAGGAATATGGATAACTCTAAAACCTTATGTTTGTGCCTATTACGACTGTTACAAGTTATGATTTTATAGTCTTTTAAAATGACTTAATTGACACTATTAAAAATTAGAACTGGCCTTTTAAGCCAATCTACAATTATGCACGAGTTTCACTCTTAAATACATTAAATGCCTTAAACTATATTTAGGCCCGATTACCAGCCGCTGGTCGGGAAAATAAGGCCGAAGTCATCCCCGAAAGAGCTCCTCTCTCTTCTCCGAAGGGAGTCTCTCTTCGGGGAGGATCAAAAACAGGACCCGAAAAACGGCGGAAATCGAGCCTACTTAATATTGGACTTAAGTTAGACTTGCTATTTCTACCTTACAAAATTTTGCTTCAACAATAGGCACTTGGGCGTGTTTGAAACAACGCCCATCGCATGAACTCCAAGTGAGTGAACACCATTAAAATGTTGCCGTCAAAATGACTTTGGTAAACTTCGACTCTATACATAGAGCGACAATACCTAGACCCAATTTAAGGACTAATTTTTTTTTCTTTGTTTTTTCTTTTTGGATTTTTTTCGTTCGTTATTCTTCTTGTGTATACCTTCAAAATAACTCCTTATATACATCCCAATGTTCAGACGGTGAATAGTGCTATCCATTGGTATCATTTAATAGTACAAGAATATATAATATGCCAATGAAAACCATCTTTAACATCCAGCAGATACTGCCTCCAACAGCTCTTAAATGGACTGATATCCTTTGATATTTCGCAGCCGGAAGTGGTCAATTTAAAGAGCCAGACGCTCTACTGTACATTAAAACCATTCTTCTACATAGAATAACAATCTCTCTAACCTCGTTTGTAGGTCTGTAAGGTGAGTAACAGAACCTCTGATTTGATCAAACCAAGAAAACCAAAACTCAGTCTGAAATGTACAGTACGAACGTCAAACTCGTGTGTGAAAGATAACATTGCCGTGCAACAGAAAACCCATTGTGCCAATATACTGACTCTCCAATGGCTAAAGTCCATCCGCGTGGCCTTTCTCTTGCTCTCTGGCCTTCTCACATCTTTCGCAGTCGCACAATCTTAACACATTTGCAATGCATCCATCTAGACACAAAAGGAGAATAAAACAAATTTTAAAGTTAAGTCTTGAAACATGATATTCACAAATACAGGTAGGAAAGACAACCTTTAAATTCTTAACTGCTAAGAATGTATTCTTTTTTCACATGCATGTAGAAAAATGGCCACTTAAAAGCCAGAAACACGACATGTAAATCGAGTATAAAGTTCACTATTAGAAGGAATGATGAGGATAAATAATAATCTCAGACGCCGACTAGATCTACTCATCCTGTTTATTAAAAAGTATGCATATGTAGTTGTAAAATTAATGAGATGCCCCTTAACTGTACGCAATTTGTAAATAATTTAAAAACACAATGGCAAAGAGAAAGATTAACTTGAAGCAATTATTATCTCTCATAACCTTCTCACGCAGGCCAATAATGTAAATTGTAATCAATGTTATATATACTGTAAATTAGTATAAGTATCGTGATGTAAATAATTTCATTTACTTTTTTTCTATCCCTTTTAGTGTGTTGTTTCTTTATTTTTGCACTTTGATATCATTATTGCAAATAAAATGTAAAAATATAGTCCAGAATTGCACTGAGAACCAAAGAGAGTGAAAACTAAAGGAAAATAAAACAAAACGTTTACTTTGTGCATATATGGCGCAAAAATACAAGCTGTGCCATGCACTGGAGAGGAAACCAGGAAGAGTTTTTCTTTTAAATTTAAAACCTGCCCTTGAATAGCTTTGCATCCTTTTGTCGAAGTGGTTTCTAGTAAACAAAACGGCTTAAGACGCTATAAATCAAACGGCTTTTTTCCAAAAATTAAAGGACTCAATAGCTGTCAATGGTTTACCGTAACACATACCATTCATGTAAGTCATTACTTATGGCACGACTTTGTACATTCAGAACAATATTATTTTTTCAGTAGTTGCTTCCACTCACCTTGAAGATAGACCTTAAGCACCTCAAGGGCATCATCCCTATCAATCGAATGTATGGCCCAAATTAAGTCCGCCAATGTCGAGTACGGCTGTGATCCGCCAAGAGACTGAATTAGCGCCTCTGTAGGGCAGACGATTTCTTCTTGTGAGGGTGAAAGATCATCCAAATACTCCTTTTTGATGCCATATCGTCGCCCAAGGTGACTCCAGTTCTTCACTCTCTTTGTGCGCTGCTTCTGGTTCAAGAGTTCACACACGTTCTCCATCACGTCCAAGTCTTCCATCAAGTCCTTCAGCAAGGCATCTTCTGAAACTATAACAAAAATAATTTATATTATGTTCTCCTTGCTACAATATTATTATTTATTCAATAAATTTGTACATTAAATGGTAATTAAAATTTAAATTTGATGAGGTATTTGTACATGCAGTTGTGATTCAATCATTATGATCAGTTATCAGCATCATCAGTGACTTGCATTAAATATGCAATGCTGATCAACACTCGAAGAGAAATTTCGTATCTCCAAGCGGCCATGCACTGTTCCATTTATTGAGCTATTTTGAAAAAATAGCCCATATGTCAGTGGTTTGAGCGTACTTTGTGTGTTCGGATTTCTGTTGCAGGAGCCAATAAGGTTGAAGGTACTATGAGTTGATGCGTAGGAACCAATGAGATTTTGGCATCTAACATTACATTCATTCGGCTTGAGGTCAAACAAGGGCAGTTTAAGACCGCCATGTTGATTCTTCACAATTGTTTCGTCTTTTATCACCGCTAAAGGTATTTAGAAGCATAATATTGAAATATCTTAATGCTTCAAACGCTGAGTACAATGATGGAGCTGTTTAAGGGTCCATATTTTAGTGTGGGTGCTGCTTCAAGACATTTCTGACCTAATTCGGCTAACGCGAATGGTACAACGCACGTATTTCATAACGGTATGAGTTCTGTTTCACCTGCTTCATAGTAGAGTGTAAAAGATCATATATTTTTCAAAGTTCCTCCAATGAAACAATAATTAAAATTTAGATATGGACTTTAATTCTGGAGTATGCGGCCTATAAATTGTGGTTTTAGAAGTTTGAAAGGCAAGGAGAGTATTGTTAATCCTGTAAACAAGCTTTTTTCTTTCGGTTACAAAGTTCAACAGACCTTTTTCGTACCAGGGAAAAAAAACATGAATTAGGTGAATAACGTGAAACAAACTTGCTGCTTAAGGTGTTTCGATATAGTTTTTCAGAGGCCATACAGATATTTTTCAATCGCCTTAAAATGTTTTTTTCCCTTGTCTGATCGCTATAAAATTTTCACCAATGATTGACTGTAGATTGAAATTTGTCAAAATGTAGGTTTTAATAAAATCGATATTACTATGATAACAATAAACAAAAAACTTTTGAAACTGATAAAAGCCGAATTTTGTGTGATCTGGACCAGCTACTGAAAATCCAACACTAGGAAGTTAAAGTTTGGTGTTTAGCAAATAACCTCCGTAAGAAGTAAAAAAATCTGTACGTTTGAATTCAACTAAAACGAAAATATGTTTCAAACCTTAAATTTTCAATAGTCGTGATAAATGACTCAAATTATTCTTAAGTAGCGTCAGAATGCTGCTTAATATCATATTTCGATGGTAGGAAATTTTGGTGTGTTTTCTTTTTTGCGATCTTGAAATCTAACCCGTTTTCTCACCACCTGTCTAAGTGCAACTTCATTCAAAATTTGGACTTTTAGCGCTTTTTTGTATATCTCTGAAACAATTCGAACGAATTTTTTTCAAATCTCTTTAAATAATCTTCATAATGTACATAATAATGTCTGAAACTTTTATTAAGATTGATTCACTGCAACACCTTGAAATTTCAAGGCAAACTTATCCTACGAACCTGTCAAAAATCTGCGCTACAACATTCACTGTTTTGACGTTATGCTAATTTTTCGAAAATAATGCAGACTACACATACGTCCATGACTAGTGCACTTTAGTTTGAGTTTACCGCATCTTTTGAAAGTAAAACATTGACAATACTCACACTGAAATGTACTAGTCATGGATATATGTATTGTCCGCATTAATTTGGAAAAATTAGCATAACATCAAAACAATGAATGTTGTAGCGCGGATTTTTGACAGATAATTTTTTTTGGTAATTTTGTTGGAAGTTAATAAATGTAAGGCTATCAACCATGACGTTGCATGAAGTATAATTTAATTGCAGATGTTGTAATGAAGCCTAGGTGATAGACCTATTCGGCTAACTCAGTGTTGTACCCAATTCAAACCCTTTGGGAATAAAACGTTTTGTTTCAGGAATTTCCATATCATTTAAATGTGAATGCCACATTATAATGCAAATACAAAACACAAAGAATCTTATCCCCGGGAGATTTGAATTGGGTACAACATTGTGTTAGCCGAATTGGTCTATTTCTGAAAATCGTTTTGAAAAATTTTCTAGTAAACAATTGGCGTTTTTTTAACGTACGAATTGTAAAAGGACCAAAGTCCAACATCTTCACGTGCAAATTGAGTGCATGAATTATTTTTATAATTCTGTTTGCTCGATTACTGTGTGATAACTCGAATTTCCTCACGTACTAGCCACGAAAGGGGCAAAGTATAACACTTTCACGTGCAAACTGTGTGATCCTCTACATCTCATTCTAACTTTTCACAGTAATGATAGTAACTTGAACGTATGAAGATATCTTTAGGTTTGTAACTAGTGCCTAAGCAAAGGCTCTTTTCTTTTAAGAAGCAATAACTTATAACACTTTTAGAATTAAGTTGTCAGAGTTAAAGACTGTTTCATTAAATTAGAATCACACGTGACAACCTCGTGAATAATGATGACGCAGCGATCTACAACAGTGATGAAAATCGTGACATTTCTTAGCTATTCGACGAACTTCATTATTTTAAGAAACCATCAAGAAACCTTGAAACCTTCAAGTCTTCCCTCTACTAACGCAACGTTTTGTGAGTTGATATTTATAGTACTTTAACAATTTGTTGATTTTACACCAGATGTCTGAAGGAAAGACAGAAAAGTGAATCTATATTATGAGGATCGAACCAGCTATGCGCAGGGGTTCTCATTTTCATTAACGTGCAGCTACACCCAACTTCGCACAAAACATAGCCTTAATCTAGGATTAAAAGAGTAGATTGCCGATACTGTTACACTGTGTTACGCGGGTAATCTTTTAGAGGACGGGTAGCTTGCAAACTAAACTGAACGCAGGGTTGTCGGAACAGCAACAACAAGATTTATTCTAACAATGAACGTAGTTTCCACGAAGTAAAACTCCACAACAGCACGTAACTCGATAAACTTACACGGCCTCCGCCAACTTGAATAAACACTGCCTCCGTCACACACGACTAACGTCAAACTCTCTTCGCTTGTGAAAACTAGTTAAAACTTAACTCGGACTCGCCTACTTATATACTTTCACAATAAGATTCTAGAACTTTCCAAATGGTCTAATTATAGAAAGACTACAAAATATACCGCTTTAGAAACGCTTACACAAGATCCTAAAATAAACAAACTATGAACTCTCGCGAACCTTCTAGAACGTCACGTTTAAAAGTCACGCAATACAATTTTTCGTAACACACTGAAGCATTCAAAATAGCTCATGCACGTAAAACGTGCCTATGTTCATATAAACACCGATGAACTACCAAACCATTTCACTTACATCGTTTTTTGCTGTGAAAGGCGCAATTTATTATGTAGCCATAGAAACGGTGATATTTCACGTGTGAAGATAACATGACATTTTCACGTGTGAAGATATCATGTTTTCGCGCGAAAGCTCACCTGATATTTCATTAGTGTTTATATAATAAAGCTGGATATTAGATAAGTTCGTCCATCTTTCCAAACTTGCTTACTCAAGCTCCATCTTGACCAAACAAGCTTGGTCCATAAAGGATTTATTACTTGGTAAAAAAATCCAGGCTTATCTTGCACGCTTGGGTGGCAAATCACTATACAGGATTCGCTCAGCCATTGTATAGCAACTAGGAACAAAGAATTTTGCGCTTTTGCTTTAAATTCAAATATTATGTTGAATTACCCACCCTTAGTGCATTTCCTGATGGCAACTATGACATCTTGTCTTTTTATTTCCTCTAAATGACTTATCAAATCCCTGACGGTTGTTCGTGGATAGTGGATTTTTACAAGTTCAAACAGCCTCTCTGTTGCTGGACAGTCCTTATTGCAAGTTTCAAACGTTTTAAAGTCTCCCCGCGGTATTTCCAGTGATGCAGCCAGATCTGACCAGGTATTTAGACCTTTCTTCTGCACGTCCAGTAAGAAGGCAATCTTCCCAATGATGTCTGGATCACTGTCGAATAAACTGCACACAAGGGTGTCACTATCTACGGTGTCGTAAGCTGAAAACAAACAGGTAACTACCAGAGTCAAATGAGTTCAAACAACATGACAATGCTCAAGGTTCCAGATAACAACAGAATATGAAATATTACACATGACTGACAAACTGAGACTGAAAAAGTTCTGAGGCTTGTGCACTCTTTACTTTATTGAAATGTATAAAGCTCGACAGGCAGAAATCACCCTGGTTTGCCTTAAAGAGACATGGACATAGCAGCAAGAAAGGGAAAACAAAAAACTTTGTCATCGGTCACCAATCAAAAGACTACTCACTTTGCTCATATTCCACAAGAACACAGACGACATCTTCTCTTGAAATTGAGTGCAATCCACCTTTGACACCACCAATTATCATCTCAGGACGCCGGGTCTGCAAGTATTCAAACATAACCTCTGTAGGACTGTGAACCTGGCTGCAGTTAAAGTTCTGATACTCCTGTTCTTCAATCTCAAAATACTCGGCAACGTGCTTCCAGCACTTGCAGGATCCATACTTGTACTCTTTATCAAGACATCTGAAGAGCCCCTCTAAAAGATCCAGGCAATCCAATATAGTCTTTGCCAGTGGGTCACCTATACATTTAAAAAATATATATGTTGCATCAATTCACTTCTCATTTTCGTAAAGTACACAATTAAAGCTCCTTTGCATTTAATTATCCATTATATAAGTAATAGAACTTGTAAGGTTTTAAAGATCATACAGTTGAGCACAGTCTACATCTGGAAAGAAAACCCTGAAATAGTCAGCGGCTGAATTTTTTGGAAAAAGAAACAATGTTGAATCTCAGTAAATGATAGAATCATGACAACAAATAAATTGAGGCTGATCAACTTTTTGCAGGAAGTATTTGTTTCAAGTTTCCTCCATCAAAGAAATGATGAAGATACTGAATCTGAGGTGATCAGATTTAGACTCAATCCACTGAATAGGCAATCAAAGGATTACAAATTCAGTCTTTGATCCAAATAAAATCTGTGAATAAAACAATCCGTGCCTTCCCGTTTATGTAGCTAGCGTATCAGATCTCAACGCCGTTCAAAGTTTTCTAAACAAATGTTATATGAGGCGCTACACATCACTCAGTTATGAAAGTTTAGTGTTTTTAGAGAAATGTGACCGCCGCCTTTTTAACAAATTTAAACACAGTGACCACCCTTTGTACAGCTTATTCCCTTGGTATAAAGAATCATCTTTGCGCCTTAGGAATATTACCAGTGTTAGACCTCATATTAACACGGAACGCTTCAAAAGTAGCTTTTTTAATAGGTTCATTTATAAGTATAACTTAGCTATATAATATCTAGACTTTTAAAACTTTAAAATTCTTTTTTATTGTATCATCTGATATGTATTTTTATCTGATGAATAAAAACTTATTATTGTTAACATTATTATTATTAGTTTAACAAACTAAACTGTGGCCACCGACACTTCAAAAAAAAAAGTTCTTATTTTGACTAGCTAACGACCTAACCGACATCAGCCCTCTGTGTTGACAACATGACCAGTGACTGACTGATTAATGTTTTATGGGTTCAAGTTAGACTCATTTCAATGTAAAATTCAAGTAACTTCATCCGGATTCATTCACAGGAATGAAGCCCTCGCAAACAAGTCGTGTAATGGAAGACGGGCTCTTATGTAACCCTAGTAGTAACACCAGTCCGCTGCACAAAGCAATCTGGGTCATTTTATTCCCCATTTGTGAACCATTCTTTCCGTGAACTTGAAAGCATTCAAAGGGGACAATTCTTATTTAGTTGCATTGCATCCTTTAAAATCCAGCCCCACTCAGGTAAAGGAGACAAAATCGATAAACACTTTAGTATACGTTCAAGGTTAAAAGAGTTAAGAACTTTTTCTTGGCTGGTGGGCATGTACGACACAAAAGGAAGGGACCTCTACCTTAATTACACCAAATCAAAAAAAAAAAAACACTGCGTACACACTGCGTATTGGTATTGCATAAATACGTGTGGCACATACAAATACTCCGACTCAGATTCCCTGTGGAAGACCACAGAAAATCGTGAGGATGTGGGGCTCTCCGTCAGAACGTTTACAGTGGAATCCTGATATAACAAAGTGCCAAAGGAGTGTTTGTTATGGTCGAGGTACGGTGAAAGAATATTACGGACCTGATCTGAGGACGAGGACGGCGACGACGGCAAAAGGTCGCATAAAAAAATGAATTCGCGTTCTTTCAGTCTTTAAATTCTTAAAAACGTTTAGGTTCACCCTCCTGACTGGGCTACCTTTTCTCCTTAACTCAGTAAAGCCGAGACGGTCAGAGCATGTGCGAGCGCCACTGGCTCGGGAAAAGGGAGAAACTTTTTTCCTCATATAAACACTCGCTTAACGTGGCTCGGCTGAGAGGGTGACCCTCTTTCCTGGGACGCCCTCCCACCATATAAACGGGGCCTTAACCATTGTCACGATGTAGTCGAGCAATGACGGCAGAGAAACGTACAAAAAATTGTGCAACACGTGCAGAGTTGTTCTTTTGCTTATTGAAACTCACTCTTGCTTTTTCGAAGTTCTCGCTGCCGTCGCCGTCTGCCGATCTTTCTGTCCCTATTGTTTGCTCTGCTACGCTATTCGCTTTCTGGAGTTTCACCGTAAACAGAAGTTGGTATTACTGTGGGAGTATTCAGTGTGAATGGAGGTTCAATGAAGGAATAAGGAATTAGCTACTCTTGCAGGAGAAGGTATGGACATCTCATGAAGCAACTTAATGTAAATAAGCTTAGGTGAACAAAATGGCCTTACTTGGCTTGAATTTTCTCTTCTTTTCCATTGGCTTAGGTAGTAATTCACTGCTGTACCTCCTTAGTTCTCTACATTCTTCCGTTTTTGCAACTGCAGAATCATAAGGACAACTAAAGCTTTTTCCAGCGATCCTGTGGCCCGCAGTTGAGATCGCTTGAGATGCCACATAACTTGCAGGTACAGCATTAGTGGTGACCGATGATGGTTGAGCACACAATCCACTTGGTGCAGTTGCCCCTGATTGTGTCCTGCCATTCTTAGTAGGTTATGTCACCACTTTTACATCATCATTTCCTGCTCTGTCAGTGGTGACCGATGATGGTTGAGAAATCATTCCACTTGGCGTTTTCGCCCCTGATTGTGTTCTGTCATTGCTATTCTTAATTGGTAATGCCACCACTAAAGGATTAATGTTGGTGTTCCCATCAGTGGTGACTGATGATTCTCTAAAGCTTACTCCTTCTGGAGGCACCCTTGTTGCTGTCTTGTCTTTGTCACTCTTACAAGGCAAATTCACCGCTTCTGGATGATGAACACCTGCTGTCCTTAATGGAGGTGTGTCCTTCTGGTTGTTAGAAGGTAAAGATACCGTGTTAGGTTCAACTCTCCTTGCGCCTCCAGACAAAGACGGTTGAAAACTTAATCCATCTGGTGAAACAACTACGCGTGATGGAGTGGTGTCTTTGTGGTTGTGAGGTGGAGGTGGGAAGGTGGTTGCTTCTTTCGCCATGGCCTCTTCAAAGATGATTCTTGATCGACTTGTTCCATCTGGTGGGACCCTGGGCTGCACTTTGTCAGAGGGTATCTTCGTCAGTTTTATACCCGTATTCCTTGCTCCTTCACTGCTAATCTCCGTCAAGGGCGTCACTGGTTGACAGCCTAACCCACCTGATGGGATCATTTCAGGGGATGTATTGTCTACTTCTTTTGGTTCCAGAGAATGGTCCCCATTGACTACAAATTCTGAGAAACAAGATGTACAATATCGGCAATGAACCAAGTAATTCTAAAATTCTACTTTTTGACAATTAAATTATGTACATAAAGCACACTCTGTCTCAATAACAACATTCTTTAACAAAGTTTAGACTCAACATTCATTCTCCCTTATATACCGTAAGTATTAAACATCCTATTTATATAGGCAGCAAAGACCTGTATCAATAATTTAACCCACACGGTTAGGACAGAATGCAGAAACACTGCACTGCTTCTTCCTTTCACGTAAATTTCACTTATTCCTGTACCTCTGTCACTTTCTGCTGCTGCAAGAGCCACTTTATCATCAAGAGTGTGTTTGATTACATGCGGTAGAGCGGTGCCACCTGGATCGCTTTTGTTGCCACCACCACCTGCACTAATGTGACACCCTGCCACTAAATCTGGCTTCACTTGAGGATAAACGCCACCTGAAGCCCCAACTAGAAATTCTGATCCAGTTTCACCTATGAAAGTACACACAACTCCTTTTTAAACAAATTATCTTTTTGAAAGTAATAATCCTTTCTTTTCTCGGTTTAAACCTGTACCTTGTTCTGCAGCCCAAGAGTTTTCTTCTTCTGCTAAGTCTTCTTAACTTTACTTGGATGTAAATCTGTGTCCTTTTCTGCTGCTGCAGCCACTTTATTATCAATATTGTGTTTGATTTCTCCTGGTTGAGTGTTGCCACCTGGATTGCTTTTATCATCACCACCACTTACACTAATGTGGCTCTCTGCCAGTGAATCTGAATCCACTGGAGGACAAATACCACCTGCAGCCCCCACTGGCAATTTTGGTTCAGTTTCACCTATAAAAGTACACAAAACTCCTTTTTAATTATACTTTTTTCCTGTTTAAACCTGTACTTTGTTCAACAGCCTGAGAGCAGTTTCCTTCTTGTGGCAAGCCTTCACTGCTACTTCTTCTATTCACGTGAACTTCACTTGAATCTGTACCTGTGTCATCTTCAGCTGCTGCAGCCACTTTATCATCAGAAGTGCATTTGTTTTCTCTCAGTTGAGCGGTGCCACCTGGATTACTTTTGTAATCACTACCACCACTTGCACTGATGTGATTCCCTGCCGGTATATTTGACTCCACTGGAGTGTAAATACCACCCCCAGCCCCCACTGGAAACTCAGATTCAATTTTACCAATGAAAGTACATACAACTCCACTTTAAATTTATTTAATTATTTATGAGAAAAATTAAACTTAATAACACTACTCGACATTTTGATGATTAAACATCATTATCAACAGTGAGAAACATTATGATGTTCGCAACATTGAAATGTTGAGTAAATGTTTAAAAAGCAACTGATCAACTATCGGATCTCTAATTATTGATGACCAAGGAAACACTGATAAGTATACATGCAGGGTTCATACAAAAAATGCTTGTCATACCCCTCTTCCCTACCCTCTGGAATTTCCATGATCTTACCACTAGGTTTGGGTACCCCCTGGAAAGAATATTTCAATTAAAAAGCTTCACTTAATTTCATTTCAACTGATAAATGGTCGCATGTGTAAGTAACTGCAGGTATGAAACAATTACTGCAGTTCAGGATAATACAGTGTTTGACACCAACATTAATGTCTGGCCTCTTCAGTTTTGCCTTGTCATTTATGCCAACCAAGGATCTGGAAAAGCCATCCTTTCATATTGTGTAGAGGTATTTCTTTGCTTGTACACTGTGTCACTAATTACACAAATGATGTTATCTGTAAAAGAGCTAGTTGCCTTCAAACTTTACATTGACTGTGAGTGATCTTTTTGCCTTGGAACTTGACTTCCCTAAGCCAGCTCATTGATCCTTCCTTTTGCATGCATACATTAGATTGAAGAACTTTAATTACTCCCTTCCTGTTCAAACTTGTTAGAAGAGGCTAATCTTCCCCCAGATCCCCAGAAAAAAAGACCTTGAGAAGCCACCCCATTCCCCTTGGAAATTGTCTCCTCTTGGACCCCCACTCCCCTCATAATTTCTGTTTCATTTCTTGAGGGGGTTGGATAATGGAACTGCACATTTATTTGAAATGTGCTCTAGCAGACTTGACTGTGCCTTCTGTCAACATAATTTTGTCTGGGGTGAAGTATTGCTAACAAAAGATATTTCTTGTTTATTAAATGCAGTGCTGCTACTTTTTTGTAATACATGTTATGTTTTTTTGGAATTTTATTTTGGCGTGCTTGAAATTACTTATTACTATACATTACAGTAACCACACCCCAAAACAAAGGGAAAATAAAAATCTATATTAATCTACAACATACATAAAACATCACGTAACAAAAAAGGAAAAAAAACAAAAAATACACTATTTAAATGAGATGTTTGAGGATAATGGTCCCAAGAAGGGAGTCAGTCTGAGCTGGTAGCATGAAGCGCATGCTGGAACTCATTAAACAACTTTTCCAGGAAATAAAAAAATATTGGACATCAATAAGAAGCTACCTAGAACTTATGCAAATACAGTTTGCATCACACCAAAAAATACCTACAGATGATATAGACACGTTTAAATAACCATTGCTTTAAATGTGAAAGTACCTGCATCCTTGGGAGGTAAATAATCTGCCATATGCCTGCAGGAATCAGTGAACCTGTGAGAATTTTCAGTTGGAAAAGGGCCTGAAAAACAACAGTCATAAGTTATATTTAACAGGGAGATATTATTGCTTCAAGACAAGGACAATTTGATATGTTATTTTAAAACCTGTGTGAAGCAAATGAGACTATAAATAGGGAAAATTCTAGTGTACGTGTGCCTATACCTTGATTGTAAACTAGCTAATTCTAGAGCTTGTTGCTAAACAAATTTACCATGTGAAGCAGATAAATTCCAATTTTATGCAGTCTCTACTCATGAAATCCATAGGATTATAATGTCTTTTTCATCCAATAAGGCACCTGGCCATGACAATATAACTATGTCAGTGATTAAGGATTCACTTCCTCACATTTTGTCTGTACTTACAGACATCGTGAACTGGTTCCTATTGTCATCAGTTTTTCCATCCCATTTGAACATTTCTGAGGTCACCCCGGCCCGTTACTTAAGGAAGGAGATCATGAGATTGCAAACAATAACTGCCCAGTATCGCTACTCCCAGTTGCATCGAAGGTTTGCAAACGAGTAGCTCTGAATCAATTGACTCCGTACATGACCAAGAGAGGCAGTGACCGAGCATCAGAGTGGCAACAAGAAGGTGCATTGATGTGAAACACTCAATGTTATGATGACGGATAAGGCACTCGTAATGGATGCGAAAAAACCTTTCACTTGTAGTCCTCCTAGACTTGTCAAAGGCATTTGACAGTCTAGACCATAGTAGACTTCTGGCAAAAAAAAAAAGACACTGGGGGTTGGTTGTACCACTCTGGAATGGTTTGGAAGCTATTTGTCGGGACATCAACAATACGTCAGGATTGGTGCTGAGGCCTCAAGTCTGGGTGCTATTTCTCATGGTGTACCAAAGGGTTCCATCCTAGGTCCGGCCCTATTTACCATCTACATGAACGACCTTCCCAACATCCTGAAATTTGGTTCTCTGGAATCAGACTTTGACGATTCAAGACTCTATTTGTCATTTTCTGTCAAAGATACTTGCAGTGTGGTCCAGCAAATTAAATATGATAATTTATTGAAGATTGCTTATTAGTGCTGCTATAATAGTCTTTTGATCCACCCAGACAAGACCAAGTTGGTGGTACTGGGAACCCGACAAATGCTACAGAGACTACCTGCAGACTTTCACGTCTCTCTACTTGGAAAGGAAGTTACTACAGCCTCCTCTATACAAGACCTGGGACTTCAAGTAGACTCCACCCTTAGCTTTGATGAACATATTACAAACACTGTCTCATCATGTTTAGGTGGTTTGGAGACAACCTTCTCAGCAACACGACATTGGGGAATGTTATAAATAATGTGCTGGTATTTAGCAAATTATACTATTGTTCTCCAGTATGGTCTAGCACAACTAAGAAAAATATCTCAAAGCTGCAAAAAATCTAGAATTTTGCTGTAAGAATGATCACTAATACAAGTACATTTGATCATATAACACCGGTTCTTCAGGAGTTATGCTGGCTCCCTGTGAGTTATGATTTGATGTGTACGGTAGGCATTCTCACGTTTAAGTGTGTGAAAGGGCTAGCACCTTAAGTTACTTGAGTGATTGTTGGGTGACAAGATCTACTGTTCATGATCGCAACACAAGAAATAAGGACTATCTTAATATTCCAGCTTATCAATCGGCTGCAGGTCAACAAACTTTTCTATATAGAGCAATATCAAATTCTGGAACTCATTGCCACGTGCAATCACTACTGCAGACAGCCTGCGTACTTTCAAAATTGTCAGCTAGGAGAGAAACCCATTGATGTTTTTATCTATTATTATAATTTTAACGTTTAGATAATTTATTCAATACTTCAAACTTACCTTATGAGTCTATATGCTTATGTATGTTGAGTCTGAAAAACCCTGATTGGAGATTCAATAAAGTTTTACTTTACTTGACAATGCTGTTGTATGTTTGGTTCTGCATTAATGTATCACTTACTGGTAAATGTATGCTCGTGACTGTATAATGATAATCCACTTTAAAAATGAATTATTGTATCTTTAGAAGCCTATTTCTGACAACACACCTGCTACCCCACACAAAATCTGCTGGGCAAGTGAAATTGTTAGAGGGTAGCAACAATAGGGGGAATTAGTCGAGTAATGAAGGACCATATAAAAACAGTCCCCTTCCAGTGTCAGCCCATGTAAGGAACATGTAGACCACACCAGTGAGAATGATGTTTGCATCCACCTCCCCATTATCAAACTATCATAATTAAACCTGTACCTCGGCTTTCGTTGTTCTGCAGCTGGAGGTCTTCCTCTCCATAACTTTCTACATTCTGCTGCTGAAGAGCCATTTCACCTGCGCCTGAATTTTCCGACCCATTTACTGCTGATGGTGACATGTATGAAGGCTGACTGAGGTTAAATCCTCAAGACAGAGTGCTCTTGACCGCAGCCCAGCTAGCTGACTTTGATAGGACGTACGTATGACTAACACTCCCTGAAGCACACCCCTGTGATTCTTGTCCAGTATGAGTCATTGTCTCACCTAAGAAAAAAAAGCATGATTAACATATTAATGAAGATGGAAGCCATGATGAAATTGAGTAATTTTTAATTTTCAGTACACAAAAACGTTGTACCAGAATAATATTTAATTTTCAAGGGCTTTAGATGTAATTAGTTGTCTGTTATGACACCAAAGAAAATTTCTTATGAGAGCCGGAGAAAATAAATGTCAAATTTCACAAAATGACACTTTACACATGAAATTTTCAGAATTTTACCTGTGTTTTCACAACTCTTGTGAAATTTGACATTTATTTTCCCGGGCTCCCATGTGAAGTAGTCATTGCTGTTATTACAGATAACTAATTACATCTATAGCCCTTGAAAAATGTAAAAAAGAATACGCAATATTGTTTAAATTATTCTGGTACAAGGTTTTTGTCCACTGAAAATTGAAATTACTCAATTCCCTGATGGATTCTGTCTTTTATACTACTACATGAGAAATTTCTGCAATTTGATTGGCTTAGAGGGGTAGTATTTCAGCTTAATTTGAAATACCTACATGTGAAAATTACAAACCTTTTGCGGGTTGTAGTATAAACAAATAATAGCATGATTTGTACGTGATATTTGTCATAAATACCACTTGTGATATTTCAAAATTGTCTCAAATTTCACTCGCCTAACGGCTCGTGAAATTACGTATAACAATTTTGAATCACTGATGGTATTCATGCCAAATATCACTACTAATCATGCTATTACCTATACAAATCTCATTATCAAAACTTGTATGCGATTTTATTGACCTGAACTTCATGTTGGTCAAAATAGAATAAAACCGAACAAACCGAACAAGCTTGGTCATTAAAGGTTCAAGTTTATTAAAAACACTTTTGATACCAGCCATAATTGATCCTTGCCGGCAAAGTAGCCTACAGCTAATCAAGGAGGGAAGGAAAAGTTAAAAAAAGTTACAGTTGAAACATAAAGGATTTATTATATGGCCAAAAAGAAAACTTTTTCTTTCCGGACCAACATGGGAAATCCTGGCCCATCTTGCCCGCTCGGATATCCAATCAAAATGCAGGATTCGCTTCATCTTGCCTACTGACAGATTCAGTCATGATAAATTCTGCACTGTGCTAGACTGGATTCTAGTTACAACATGAAACTAGCACGAAAGTCAAGAAACCTGTAAATGGTGAACGAATTCCCATGCAGAACATCCCAACCAGGAAAAGGGGACTACGTTTTCAGAATTTCCGTTTGTCCCAGGAATTTTCCAGTGAAACGAATCACAAAAACGTTTACCATTGACATCCCAACAGGAATTTCCAGGAATTTGTGGTAAATGGTAAACAATCACAGTGAAGAGATAACCAAGATTTCTTGGATGGGTAGATTACCACATTTTCTTAGGTGTGGGGCTACCCTTGCCCATGCACGGAGCACAGCTAATTTACATGTAAGCTCGGATAGCAACCCTCTCATTTTAGGCAAATATTTCTGCCCCCCCCCCCGTTTTCATTTAATATCCTCCCAGTTTGAGAAACTCTTCCATTTCTTTCTTTAACCAGTCTTTTAGCATGCTTTTTTGCTGTTTCTCTGTGGTCTCTCAGCCATTTTTACCGTTTTGGCATCTGACCATGAGCCTGTGATAATTTTGGGCACAATATTTCCTTTGACTGTGATCTCAAAATGCAGGAAATGGCATCTTAGAGGCACATATCTTAAATTTTTCCCGAGGGAGCATGCCTTCAGAACCCCCTAGAAGCCTGCACCTTTGGCGGTAGTGGGAGCGGTGTATAAGCTAGACCTCCCTTTTTTAGTTGACATGGTTGAAATCTCTGACAAGTTTACATGACATCTTTACACGCTTAAATGATACAGATCAATATAATTTTGATTTACAAAGTGACAGACGACAAATCGTAGGGTGCATTTGCCATTAATTAATCAATTACAATAGAACTTTTATTGTTACAAAGTTTTTCGGTCTGCATGTAAACTACATGATTCATTTCATTTACCATGGTATTCAAACGAACAGAAAAAAGAATTATCCGAGCTATGTGGCACAGGGCATTTAAATAATACTGTATTTATAAGTCACTAAATACCTTTTTCTTGAAAGTTGCTTCCAAACAACAGTGGCACAGTGTGTTTAATGTAAAAATCCAAAAATCCTGCAAGCTGGCAATCATTTGTCGCTATTATTGCCCCTAGTGGTACGTCTCCTTTCGCAAATTCATCTTCTTTACGAAAACGCTTTCTACTAGGGCTGGTACTAACATTTACGTTGCCGAACTGTGAGTCATCGCCAGTAGCAAAGACGTGGTGGCAGTGAAAAAGATCGTTGATTCGCGTGGAGAACGCGACAGGCCTTTCATGTTGTGTTCTTTCCGCAACCGTTTCTTCGCTAAAAACCAGGCACTGAAGTTGATCCCATAACACTGACGATTCGCTTCCTTCCGAGAAGTTGTATACCTCCAAGCATCTGGAAGGCAAAAAGCTGCTTCCTTTCTGATTTGTGAGGGCGACGTACGTAACGCCATTCAGATCGTAGGTGTCCTCTTCCAAAGAACGGCATAACTCACTCAAATCTTTGCGTTCGAGCACTTTGCTGTCCTCCATTGACAGAAATTCGGCGACAACTTTAACGGAAATCTTCTTTCTATCTTTTTTTGGCTTCTTGATCGCCATAAGATGATCTTTTGTGAGAACCGCTCTTTTATTTGCAACTAGGAAGAACTTTGAATTTATACTTCTAGTAGGCTTTCCAAGCAGGCGAAGAAACTCAACACTTTCAAACTTCGCCAGGCAGCCAAGACCGAGAAAATCTCTTCTTAGCAATTTTTTTCCCTTTTCAGATCGCCACCTCGGCTTGTCCCGACCAGCCCCTTGCTGCCGCCATGTCAAAGATCAAGCAAAAAAGGAAGAAGAATCATGGGGGGTCTTTATTTTAAGAACCCTGTCTCGATACAAAGATTTCCGGGAAATTCCCGCCAGATTTATTTTTAGAAATAAGGATCATCAGCCAAGCCTCATCACCAGGGCCCAGTTGTTCGAAGGCCGATTAGCGCTTAACCGACCGCTTAACCCGGGGTTAAATTTAACTCGGGTTTCTCTTTCTTGTGTTCAAAAGCATTTTGTGGGATAATTTTCTCTGTTATATTTAGAGCTTTCAATCATCAACTTGTAGACAAAAAAAATTAAAACTGAAATTCTTTTTAAGCTTTCAACTAGCACTAACCCTGGGTTATCTTAACCCGGTGTCACAGCGTTTTGGGCATCCCCATTCCCAAATCCCTAGCGTTTTGGGCATCCCCTTCTCATATTACTGCAGCGTTTTGGGCATCCCCCGGTACCCTCCCGCGATGCCCAAATCCCAAGTGTTTTGGTCATCCCCTCCAAAGAAATGCTGGATTTCGCGGGAAAATCGAAAACGTTTTAGTGATGGCTTCCATCTACTAAATATAGAAATCTTTTCCAGTATCTCAAAAAGAAGGCTTATCCGGAAGGCTTTACAAAGCCAAAAAAAACGACTCTTCGAAATTTTTCCAAAAAGTTCGAGTATGACTCAAAATTAGCGTCCTTGTTCTACGTGGCCAAGGAGAAGCTTCGACGACTTGTTATCACCATGCCCCTCTGCTCCTTTCTCTGGACACGCCGGCCGCGATGATACTTTTGCACCCTGTGAAGGTTGTTCCCAAGGTGTGGTACTTGGTCGGAATGGATTTAATAGAAGCCCCTGCTACATCTCTAAACGGCAACAGCTTTCTTCTGTCCCGTAGGTGCAAGAGGCCTCTGTATAAATTGTGTGACAGCCTTTCGTGTGTCAAGTAGCGCTGCGGTAGAGGCCTTAAATGTCATGCATACTATGAATTCAAAACCGCAAACCGCAGTTTTATTCATGTTTGTCTTTTGATTGGTTTGTTTAGTATTTTTGTTTTTGGCTGTTTGGAATCAGACGATCGCAGCTGCCAGCGATTGCGGCATTGCTCGCTTGTAAACAGTTCATTGAAGCTTTGCAAACATGAAACGTTGTACAGCGAAGCGATGTTATGCGGTTGTAAATTTCAGCTTCATCATGTTTTGAGCCAACGTTTACTGCCTATGGGTTTTCTTTCTGCGCGATAATGCACTTGTCCCCGGAACCCCCCCCCCCCCCGAACCCGGGGAGACGTGGGGTATACGTGGGGATTTGTAAGTGCTCAGATGACTTACCAGCCCCCAGGGGGTGGGGGAATAGTTCACTTTAGACAATTTATATTGTAGACGGGGACTGGACTCTAGTCCGAAGCACATGGTCGATTGTTTAAAATGGCGGGTTCTGAAGGTGAGTTAAACTATTTTCTTTGCCATTTTAATGCGTTTGTGTTGTCCTTTATACAGACTCTTTCATGCATAACATCACTTTTTCGTTTGAATATTGAAATACGCCGGCTTTTGTATGTGTGAATTTAATTTAATTTACTTTTACTACTTAGTCAGAAGACGACACTCTATGCCCCTGTGGAAGGAGAAATGAAGAGGAAAACATGATAGGTTGTGACGGCAAGACATGTGCCATTAAGTGGTACCACTTCTCATGTGCGGGCATCAGTGAAATTGACATCCCCCAAGGACTATGGTACTGTAACAGTTGCTCAAAAACCTAGCTGATGGATAAGCCACATGAATTTTCACAGTGTTTCCAAGGTGTGTCAGAAAAGTAGGACTTTGCATATTTCGCTATTAAATAATAACCAGTCTTTGAAAAATCCAAACCTTTAGTCGGGGCTTAAACTAAAAATTCTCCCCTTTAAGGTGGGGCTTTTTCTTCCTTTTTTTCGTTCAGCTGTCTAATGCCCCAAGTCTCCCCGGAGTTGGGGGGGAGGGCGGGGTT